TCAATATTTTTGTTCCTTAACTTCGTCCGCTTTTCTGTTGTGGGATTTTTTTTTCGTTTGCTTATGATTAATTCACGACATATTGGAGCGCTGTCATCTGGATCTCAGCTGCTGTTAAAAATAAAACTATTTACCAAACAACACACGGTAACACGTGTAAAAATAGGGAGCAGAATTGCACGCAGGGGGAAAAAGCGCACACCTAGTTAGTTTATCAGAGATTTCTTATACGGCAATTGAACACTTACATGTAAGAAAGAAATCAGGATTTTTTTAGAAAGCTGGAGTAGATCTAAAAAGAATTATCGTTATTTTTCCTGATCTGAACCTTGATGTTTTCCTGTTTCCCAAGAAACTAACCCAGTTACAGTAATGCCTGGGTTCTGACCTGAACTAATTGCAAAAAAAGTAACAGGATTTGTATCGTTTTGATGGTTCGCTCCATCTTGGTTCATTTTAAAAAGAAATACGATTTGCACGAACAAAGAAAGAAAATTAAAGACCTAAAACACACAACGATTGGTGGTGGATAGCTGTCTGTGAAGTTTTAATGCATCAATTGTTTAACTTAAATTTCAACGTATTTCAGAAGACAGAGGGACTGAGGGACTAAGGGTTTCTGCATGTTAGCCATTTTGATAGCTTATTATACTGAATAAATGAACGAGTTACAGAAAAAATTAAATGATTCATTTGTTGTGATCTGTCCAGTTTTTATTGTTTCTGCTGCCACCATCAGGTGACAGAACACGAGTCTTCCCGTCTTCGTATTCTGTGTATTATTACTTCGATATTATAACAGAAATGTACCAACGAGCTCTTGCTGAAATGCAATACTGTACCGTGGACGTGGACAGCTGTCACCGGCTCAGCCTATATCATTTTTTTTAATGATAGAATATAACCACACTTTAGAAATCTTTAGACAAATTAAGCCAAGCTATTTTTTTAGCTCCAGAAAGTATGTAATGAATGTGCTCACACTACAAGGCGTTATTTATTATATGTGTCTGTTTAAGAAGCCACACAAATTTTAGTTAATAACAAAATAGCTGTTATTGTCCTTTGTACGGAGATGTTGATGATAATGTTTTACAGTGAATCATTCATTCCTTGGGACCTCGTCATAACAACGCTGTTATTGTTTTGTGAATTTAGAGCCATTGTGTACTTTTAGGTGAAAATGTTATGACTGCTTAAACATAACCACTTTAAAGGCGTACTTTTGTTCAAGGCAAACTATATAATATACTCACAATTTCAAAACAAAAAGGGAAAACATTTTCACCGCCACTGCCAACCTCACCAGGACAAGCAGACTGAAGAGGTGGGCGGTATTTTTTGTAGTCAGCTGTTAGTAAATGCAACACAATGCAAAGAGCGTAAATTCAGTTCAGCCTTTATTCTTCTCTGGGGGACATTTGTTTTTACGGCACAGTCCAATACAACAGTGAAAACAGGTAAGACAAACATTACCAACAGAGAAGACGGGACAATAATATTATAGGAGATGAGAGAGTTACTTTACATTGTTCTGAGAGTGATACTGCAGCGGTGATGAAACATTTCCTGAGTCCGTTATTAATACGCCGGGGACACAGGCAACTACCACAAGTGGAGACAGGTTTAATGGAGATGCGACATAGCAGCCTGCAATTCAAGATGTAGAATAAGCCTCACGGGAATAGACTGAGGTTTAAAAGGGGGGGAAATATTGAGCCAAGATCGCGTGAGATGTCATCCCGCAGTTGCAAAAGGTAAATCTCCCCACTGCTGTCCACTTCCAGGCGTGCGCCTGTCGGTGACAGGGATTAAAAGAACGCGTTACGGCAGGTGGCGTCGCACTAGTGTGTCCCTCGCCGCGCTCCGTGTAAGTCTTTACGTGGCAGTGCAAGCGGAGCTCCCCGTTTCCTTACCTCAGTTGCTGCTCCGACACTTAACTCCTCCTCCTCGCAGCGGTGCCTGGCTGGGGGCTTCCTGGGTTGTTAGAAGTGTCTCAATTCTCTGTCCCCTTCCCCGTTCGTTGCAATTAAGCGAGGGAATACTAGAAATAAGCCCCCCAAAAAAACACATTTAAAAATGTTTACCTTGTCGGAGCTTCTTGTCCTTGTAGCCATCTTCTCCAGCACAGCGTCCGGCTACTTCGTCAGCATAGACGCTCATGCCGAAGAGTGCTTCTTCGAGCGGGTCAACTCCGGCACCAAGATGGGCCTCATGTTTGAGGTGGCCGAGGGAGGCTTCCTGGACATTGATGTGGAGGTGAGGGCCGAGCCGGGGTGACAGATCCACGCAGTCGTGTAGTTGAAAGAGGAGCAGCTCTCGTCCGCCGTGGAGACAAATCTGAGCGAGCCAGCTGGCGAGGAGTAGGCCTCTCTGCTTTAACGCTGCTGGAGAAAAACAAATGTTGCAGGTCATTTCATTTGTGCGGATGTGTTAAGATCGTTAACATAAGATTTAAACCTAGAAATGTCGCCTGTTTTTATCATTGGAATAATAGTTTCGTCTTCCCGTTTGATTCATGCAACAGACTGCAAGCCATTTTAGACTACTGTACCAGGAATTAATCCCTAATGGAGATATTTATCACCGCCTACGTAAACATCAGGTGTGCTTTGGCTTTTACCTGAAGTTTATGTCGAAATAAGTGATCGCTTTCGCAGTCTGATTCCTGCACTGTAAACTAAGCCTCGCCGATACGAAAGATTCAGTATGTATTAGTTTAACAGGTGCATCAAGGCTCCAACGAAACGACAGCAATTGAAGGTTATACGTATTCTCTACCGTAATGTGCCAGTACCGTTTTTTGTATTTATTAATAAGCTGCTTTTCCGATTGGAGTAATTGAACCGTAGCTTTCGAAGTAGAGGGATAGAGGTTGATTCACTTTATCTCAGAGAGAGAGACTCTTAACCTCTCAGCAAGGTCTTAGTTTTTCATCGGCTGTTAAAGTCCAGTGAATGTAGTGTCGCGTCTTAAGCTTGATGTAATGGCTAATCTAGTTCTCAAGTACAGTAGGGCGTGTACCGCCTTTATTGTTGAAAATCATTCACACGCATCTCTTACTATTTTCTGGGAATTGATACTCCTGCAATATTATGTTGTTACTATACCTGATAAATACTGGAACCATACAGCGCTACACAAGGGCTTGCAGTGTGAAGTAGCCCTGCAGTGGTGGAAATATCTGAATGCATGTTTTTTTTTAAACAATCTGTCCCGTCACCACCTCCGCCACCTGGGCAGCTGCTCAATAAGGTATCGCCTTTATCATGAGCGGGTCAGCGGTACTCATTGCTCGGGAGTCAAGGGGCTACCGTGTCTAACTGGTGAGGCAGCCTCACCTTGTGAAAGGGGCAAGGGAGAAATTACTTTGCTGAAAAATGAAGAGATCCTTGACCAAATCGTTAGTCTTAAATTTCGAGTGTATTGTTTTTGGTCCAAATGTTGATTGACTTAGTGCCCAATTGTGTAAATTTAATTAATCTAATAATTCTGGAGAAAAAAATCCTTAAATAACATTAGTCATTGGAGACCAAACCAAAATATTTAATTGAAAAAAACAATGGTTAGAAAAGAAAGTACTGGGCTGTAACTGTTCACACAGATATCTGTGGAGTCTCCCTGTCTAATTTATGTTGCTTGTGCAGTGCATTCTTTTGAGTTGCCTACCTAAACACCCAGCCATATCTCAGATTAAGTAAAAACTGGACGGAAAGGTTATATTCTTACTTGCAGTCCATTCCTTCTGTAGTGGGAGGTTTCCGAGCTTCATATTGGGTGGCAGTATTAAGCAGTGGTTAGGTCTGAGAGACTGTGGGGTTGTGGGTTCAAATCTTAGGTGTGGACACAGTCTATTTATTACCCAAAAGACTGCTCTATCTATACTGTCTGTATAAACCGGTATGAAGATTTGTATGTAAAATAGGATAAAAATGACTTCTAAAAGTTGCTTGTAATTTATGTATGGTTTGTAGAGCATGTAGGCTATAGTTCATGAATGATCATGCATAGAAGGTGATTTAAGAAGACCTACAATATTTTTTGTTTGTAAACTAGGCGTGTTTCCTTTGCTTTAATGCTTTGTAATGAAAACTCTTTGCTTGGCATTTTTTCTGCACATGGAGAACTATGTGTTCTGAATTTCCTTGAATTCTATATCACTTTGATATTTGATATAAGTTTGATTTATGTTGCGGTTAAAAATGGTATCTGTATGGTTATTAAGAGTTTAGAGGTTCAAATATATGGGTGAAATGTTGTGCAAATCTTGTGCTGTGAATGACTTTGTATCTTACTTTATTGCTGTATAACAACATTTTCCCACCTTCTTCTGTAGATAACAGGGCCAGATGGCAAACAGATTTATAAAGGAGATAGGGAGTCTAGTGGGAAGTACTCTGTTGCTGCCCACATGGATGGCACATACAAGTTTTGCTTCAGCAACAAGATGTCCACAATGACTCCCAAGATTGTGATGTTCACCATCGATATTGGAGAGGCTCCTAAAGGCCAGGACATGGAGACAGAAGGTGAGGCCACAAGTTTACTGGGCTGCCCAAAGAAACAATTTGTCGGCTGTCCACCTGTCCATTTTTTTTTTATCTTCACTGTTATAGCCTGCGATATAGAAACAAGTACTCGTTATGTTCATCACAGCTAGTGTGTCCTTTTTGTCCAGGCAATCTGCAGTCAGTACATTTTGCTTTTTTAAAATCTCTCATCTAAATGGAATCACATACTTATTCGTATGTGCTTTGCAATAGAATGTATTTATGCTTCTTTACAGTGGAGATGCAACATTAGTTTGTCTTAAGCCCCACACTCTGTGGAATTACTGTGCTCCATGTTATTTGATCCCAGAGCCTCTTTGAAAGCATTCATTAAACTTACACATGGCACAAAGAATCAGTACAAGACACACATCGCAATGAAAGAAACAGCATCTAGGAATGACTTGGTAAGTCAGGGAACATGCCTTAGATTGTTCTGTAGCATCATTATACCTTTAATATTTAAAGAAAAAAGTTATAATATAATGACAATGGCTTTTAAGTCCTTCCTAAAATAGTATTGGAAATAGATTTTAAAAGTACACATGACTTAAAATATAAAACTTAAAAAGAAAATTTTACTGACCATAAGTATGAGCAGGACAGCAGCTTGTTAATGAAAAATGTCTGCCTGCAGAATAATAGGGCTGTAATTTACTTGGGTGCCTGGAAAACAGGGTATGCGATATATCTCACCAAATCAATGCAGTTAGAGCCTTATATAAATCAGTTGCTTGGTGGAGAAATTAATTTAGAAATGTCAGAAGGTAGTTGGCTAAATCAGCGGTTCATTTTTCAACTGAGTGTCTTTGTTGTGCAATGTGTTGTAACAGGAGTTGTTCGTTGTTGCTCAGTGGAAAAATGTCACGTTTTTGATTTGTGAGAGCTAACACAAGTCCTTCACACCTGTGGGACTGTAGCTTCAAGTCTAAAACGGATAGCTCCGTCTTACCCTAAACGAACTTCAGAACGTCAACAGAGAGCAGAAAAGATCTATCAACAGAAAGTAAGAGCGTCCGAGTGGTGATCAAGCTTACATTATTTAAGCTTATTGCTTAAAAACCTGTTCCAATATTTAAGCCTCACAACATTTTCATCAACTTTTAATGAGATGATTTGTCTGAAATGTGAACACTTTAATATTTTAGCTAGGCTAACTTTTTGTTACATTACCCATCATCAATATAATTTTCCGATAAATTCAGGTTGAGACAATGTAATTAATTAATTAGCAGTGTTAACACCTTGTAGCCTTAACATGTAAGCTCTTGGAAGCAAAGCTAGACTGCATCTGGTCCATACTAGGGAGGGACACCTTGAAGAGAAGCCAGATGCAGCTGTCAGAGGTGTCTGTCCCCCTCTGTGGTGCTCGGGACACTGTTGTAGGAGCTGCTGACCTTCAGAGGAGGTGTGAAATAAAGGTCCTGACTACATAGTCATTAGAAGTTGTTTACCCTGGTGTCCTGGGTAAATTCCACTTAGCCTCGCTCAGTCCAACCTCCCTGCATCTCGCTGTTAATTTGGCTGCTGATGTCATTTCTTACTTTGCCACAGCAGGTGAGGTGGAGGTAGTGGCGACAGCAGGTCGCCCAGTGAAGCAGGTTCTGTCCTTTGAGATAATAAGAGCAAAAGAAATGGAACACAGTTTTGTAGTATTTTTTTTCTCCCCTTGCTTTCCTCATTTATCCCTTGCTCTCTTCCTTTGCTCTGACCCTCTTCCTGTCCTTCCCCTTCCCTCAGGTGGTGGAGATACTTGGGATGGTAGGTGGCGTGTTGCCCCAGAGCTCGGTTGCCCTGGTATCATTCAGCTTGGGCTGATTTGAGAACTTCAGGGCGGTGTGCTTTGACAGTGTTGCCAGTACAACTTTGCTGCAAGCAAATAGATGGATGGTTTACTGGTTTCTCAACGTCTGTGGGTTGCCTGGCAGCTAAAGATAATTGTGGAAAATAACCTGAATGCACACTGTTGGGTACTAATGCAACATTGTCTTAAATCCACCCTTCTTTCCTGCAAGACTGTGAACTCACTACAAGTTAGCAACAGAAAAAGTAGGTATATTCTAATGATTGATGTTGATGTCAGTTAGGACAGTTGTTTTTCTATAAATTTAGAATTGCCAGTCTTTCTCATATGCACCCGCATAGCCAGCTATGTGCATTTCATTTCTTGTCTCCCTGCTACAAAGCCCTCGGTCACACACCTCGGTCCGGGGAGAATAAGGAAGTGAAGGCCGCAAGTTGTACATTTCTTCACTGGAGGCCCCTAGCAGACTCCTCTAGCCTACCCGCCTTCGAGTCCTTCGCCTTTTAACACACCACAGGCAGCACAGCTCAGTGTGCTCGCAGTTTCAGTGCCCGTTGGTGCAGAGGCAGGTCTCTTGCCTCTCTGCCTGGGAGAGCCCTAGCTGACTCATTGCACCCTGCCCTAGACCCTGAGCTTCTCCGCAGGGCCAGACAGCTGTTTTTATCTTGTCAGGCATCTAGTCCTTAATGCTGATGCTGCTGATAAGGATCAGATCTGGGTTTCCTGATGGTAGATTCTCAGTGCCGTTGCTTTCAAGGGCGATCAGAAAATGTGGTGGGCCTGCCCTTTTTAACCTCTCACTCCTCACATCAGCCACCGTCTTGTGCTCATGTTTGTGTTGTGCAATGCAAGGTAGTTCTTAAGAATTGGGGAGGCATGGAGGGGGGTTGTTTGAAGTGTTGCATTGACTTAATCCAGTAATTTTTTCTTCATGCAATTTTGGCAAACTTCAGCAGGCTGATAAGCTGATATATTTTGACTCCAATCCAATTAACTCTTTTCAGCTACTTATATTACAGAGTACATATATTACAAATAAACAGAAGGTTTCCCTGTTTATTAAAGAGCTTGTTTGCATCTGTCAGTTGACTTTTTATTTTCTCAGCCACTAACTTGCCTTGAGGTTTTCCAGTGGTACTGCATGTGTGTTGTACTGATCCCAAGAAGCAAGCTGGTCTTTAGACCTAATTTCTCAGGCACGTTTTAAATATCAACTCTTGTCTTTTAGCTCACCAGAACAAGTTGGAAGAGATGATCAATGAGCTGGCTGTGGCTATGACTGCTGTCAAGCACGAACAGGAGTACATGGAAGTCCGTGAGAGAATACACAGAGCAAGTAAGTCGTTGGGTCTGATTGCTTTCTAAGTGTTTGAGCCTGTGCAAACGCAAGCTGATCTGTTGAGCACTGCAGTTGTAAGAGGTGTGTGCACCTGCCTTTGGCAAACGTTTTGCAGATCGCTTCAGGCACATCATAAATGGCACAATAAGCTCTAAATAATGAGTTTATTCCATCCTGAAAAGAGAAGAAAGAAAACACAACAGCTTTCTTTCTTCTTTTTTCAGCGTTGAATAAACCTATTACTTGTTCCTTTGCAGCCTACGCATGCTGACACAGCTACCCACCTGAACTACAATGAGCTCTATACTGCTGTCAAAAACTATGTAGAAAAGTTACAAATTTAGTCTGGTGGAGAGGGTGCAAAGATCTATTTAATACTTTTTTTGATGAAAGGAAGAGAGTACAATACACTTTGTGCTCAAAGTGATTTTGTATGGTGATGTATTTTATCCCTCACTCTTATGTTAATTGTTTTACTTATCAGATATTCAATTTTTCTCTCCCACCCTTTCTTCTAGTTAACGACAACACGAACAGCCGAGTGGTGCTCTGGTCATTCTTCGAAGCGCTGGTGCTTGTAGCCATGACCCTGGGACAGATTTATTACCTAAAGAGGTTTTTTGAAGTCCGGAGAGTCGTGTAAAAACTGCAGGTTTTTTGTTTCTGGTGCATTTCACCATTTTACCAAAATCTTGTAAGTCACAACATTTACGTCAAGAATGGAAATTCAGCTTCGACTTTTGAAAAGCCTTTAAATGCATTTTCAGTTTTTTTTTTGGGGGGGGGTTTATTGATGTTTAAATCCCTTTGTGCTTTCCCAGTTTTTTGTATTCACCTTACCCCACTGTTTACCTGATGTGTTTTTCACCCATCCACCTGTCAGACTTTTTTTTTTAAAAGGACATTAAATGTTTTGAATTAAAGGCAAGTATTTCTAAGCATTTAACATCTTTAGCTATAATGCAGGTGAATGCTCTGAGTTTGCGGGAAGCAATTTATTAACTTTTAATTTGAATGATTTTAATGTTTGTTTGCAGCATCTAAAACTAGGAATCTATGGAAGCAGTGTGAGCTCTCATAAATTTCAGGTTTAAATTGTGGTCACTTTGAAAAGAGGAAACCAGAAATACACCTAGCTTTTCTACTCCTAGTGTTTTATTCTTTGGTAAAAGTGATATGAGTAAAGAGAAATTGAATTCTGTGTTGGCCAAAATTGTTACAATACAACACTGCAAATTGATTCAGTCAGTTGTGGGTGAAAGTCTCTCATCGTTTTGCAGAAAAATCTTCAGAAATGATTTCATAATGATTTGTTGTAGTAAGCAACCTTTTGAAAAGGCCATGGTGATGTTTAATATAAGCAGCTACCAGTTTAATTCCCTTTCTTAAATAGAGGAAATATTTGTCCACCTTCAGGGCACATTCATTTGAGTGTTTCTGGGTGAGGGGAGTTTTTTGCCAGTGTATTAATGATAAGTTTAACTATTAGTTCCAAGGTTTGGGTGTGCAACAGGCAAATGTTGTGACTGGTGTAAATTAGTTACTTGTACTTTTTGTCAGATTAAGAAAACAAGAACTTTACAAAACAGCAACACAATTTTGTACAATTAATTTCCTATTTGTTACAGGTATTCATGTGCAAGGTGAAGTTTTGTTACTTGGGGGAATATGGATGTTGTAGCAGACAACAAACTAGGTCAGTTGACTGCTGCAAAGCCATTACAAGAGTATTTTTGTGTAACAGCGGACACCACAGAATACGATGTAAAGATGTAAAGTAAAAAAATGCTGATGTATGTCAACTACAACCCAGGTTTAGTAAATAATAAAAACAACATTCTTTAAAAAAAAATGGTGTTTGATTTTTTTTCCCCCCCCATCTTGAGTAACGAGTGTGCTACCTTTGCGTGTGTGCATGCTTCACTGTTAATTAGGGGACAGCATTTTAAAAACATTACTGTCTTTGTTGGGCGGTGTCGTGGTCATGGACAATGTGGGCAAGTAACTGGTATTATTTATGAGCCAAATGGCAGTACCGTTGAAATCTCAGAATGACTCCGTGTTTGGTCTGCTTTTACCATGTGGAATTTGGAAATGCGCGGCTGCCCCGCGAGGCTCGGGTATGGAGTCGGATCCCGGACAGGAGTGGTTTCTGCGGGGAGCTTGCACGTAGGCCCAGCTCCCACTGGTTTCCCTTCCAGTGCTGTGGTTCCCTGTGTGCTCGTGCCCCAGACCTGGACTGGTATCCTGTCCAGGTTCTTGCAGCTCTCACCAGGAAGGTGTGGCTTGTTAATGAGGGAGCTTGGAACATTACAAAAAAAAAACTTCTTTCTTCCAGAGGCCATCAGGCTCACGACGAGTGCAAAGAGGGTATGATCTCTATATATCCGATAGACCCCTCCCCACCCCACAATGTGCATATACTTTCTTAAATATCTAATGAGCAGATTATTATTTTATTTTGCAGTAGAGAACAAATGCACTTACGATGCACATGCAATCTTTTCACTCATAAATCAATTTATGGACTTTTTGCTGTGTTTTCTTTAAAGTTATACCCAGTTTTATTTGGAATGTGTTGTACGGTATGTTGCACTGATTGCTGCTTAAATTGCCCCATCTCCTTGGGGGGGAAGAACATTTTGAATTGAACTAAAATCCAATAGATAGCCCCCACTAATACAGACAAAGGTGTGCAAGTTGGGGGGTGAAACACGCTACTATTCCTGGTACCAAGGGGTAATATCAGTATTTCATGAAAAAGCTGGATGGGATGCCCTGGCCAATTAGCTTCCAATGGTCAAATGAGCTGGGTGCCTTCCTCCATGCAGATCTTTCATTTCTGAAGAGAAACTGTGTACACTAAAAGATTGGCTGGAACTTTTTATTGACCTGCTACAATCCTTCGAGGAAAATATATTTTAGTTAAATTCTTAAATACCAGTAAATCAGGGAATCGGGACAAAATGAATTTGAAGTTTTTTTTTTGGATGGCTTTAAACCCACTGGTGGTAGCCTTTATACATGAAGGTCTGATAAAATGAAGATAAAAAAAACTTGACAGAAAACCACTCTACGAAGGTATATATGATTTTGAAGCGAATTCTAGGTGTATTTCTAATTATGCTCTTGCCCTGTTTATATAATAGCCACTTTATATTTTAGAGACTGCAAAACCTAATTTAGTTGATCACAAACTTGTATCAGCATTTAGTTGTCAAATAGTTTTCATTTTTAGCTTGGTTCTCCTGAATTATACCCTTTACTTGTTTCGTAAATAGAAAATAGGTTTACCAATGTACTGGACATGACACATAACGATAAAGTACTACACGCCTTAATCCGGAACGTATATGCCGGTACTTGTTGCTGGCCGGACAACGTACAGCAAAGCAGGAAGTTGAAACGGCGTGTTTTGGGGGGTTTGCACTGGACATTTAAAAAAATGGAGAATGTGACGGAAGGTGGATGGGACACTTTACCTGTTAAATTGCACCAAAGTATTTTACAGACTCTTAGTGAACTGAGATTTACTCACATGACGCCAGTCCAGGTGAAATGTTAAAGTATTATAATAAAACTTTAAAAGATAAGTTACAGTTCTTAGAGTTCAATGTGTTCTGGTGTTGCGTGAAGATACTGAAGGAATTGCAGTAAAACATCACTAAAGCGTATCCTATCATAAAAAGTAAATATTGACTCCTTTTTTATTCAACAGGCTGCTTGCATCCCACTGTTTATGAACAACAAAGATGTTGCTGCAGAGGCGGTAAGCACGATGTTTTATTTACTGACCGAAAACAAACTTGCTGATTTGTTTACGTTACACTGTAAAACTAAATGATTTGATATTTGTTAATTCAGGTCACCGGGAGCGGAAAGACTTTAGCCTTTGTCATTCCCATCCTGCAGATACTGCTAAAAAGAGAGGAGAAACTCAAGAAAATGCAGGTAAATCGGATACATACTTTGTTCATTTTAAAATGAGTTGAGGTCAAGCTATTTTTTTTAAATGTACCGATGTTCTTGTCATTTTACATAAATACGAATATACGCATACGAGCGATTGTGTTTTTTTTTTTGCTCTTCCAGGTTGGCGCACTGATTGTCACGCCCACGCGTGAGTTGGCCACGCAGATCAGTGAGGTGATGGGACATTTCATCCAGCACTTCCCTCAGTTCAGGTTAGCTATTGCGTGGAGTGGGTTGGCCTTCACGGGGGACCTTACAGTACACGCTGACTAAAACGTTCGCTTTCCTAATGCGACGTTTCTAAAAATCTCTTTTCAGACAAATACTTCTAATCGGAGGAAGTAATCCTATAGAAGATGTGGAGAAATTTAAAGCGCAGGGGTAACTACGTCCGCCGCAAATTGTCTTTGGATGGGTGTTTTTTTGGGGGAGTCCTGGAAACGGCATGATTGGTGTGGTGAACTAGTGGTGCAAACGTTCTTTCATTTCTCAGCTGTGCTTCTACAAATAAATCCACTCGAGTGGGGCTTTAAGAAAGCAGGACCCGCTGTTTAAGTAAGCTAATAATCAGACCCCCCTCGAGTTCGTGCTTTTCCTAATTCTCACTATTTGGGTTTTCTTTGCTAAGTTTCGTGGTCATCCTGCGGTATCTTGCATTTGCTGATTTGGGGGTTTAAAGCAGGCCACTTTACATCTGAGCACTGTCATTTCCCTCGCCGCCTCCTGGCGGCCTGGATCGGAGGGAGTGGGGTGGATCCCTCCTGTTCTACCGGCTCTTTCTCTGTGAAAGGGGCAACATCGTGATCGGCACGCCAGGGAGGCTGGAGGACATGTTCCGGAGGAAGGCGGACGGCCTGGACCTGGCCAGCTGCGTCAAGACTCTGGACGTCCTGGTGCTGGACGAGGCCGACAGGCTGCTGGACATGGGCTTCGAAGCGAGGTGACGAATTCAGGGGCCGGGTTTGCTGCTGGTTTATTGTCAGCCTCAGTAGGAAGGCTGTGTCCTCAGTCTCTGCTTGCTGGGGATTTTGCGGATTGCAGCCGTAGTTATGGCAGAGGTTTAGAAGCTGTGAAAGAGCATGGTGTAGACTGTGATTATTGGCAGTTCAGTTTGGTTTATTTGCCATATGCACAAGTGAAATGAAATGCTTATTTACCTGTATGTGCCAATACAAAGACATTCAAGAAATCACCGAAAACATCGCCACAGAACAGCAGCAGCAGCAACAAGTTAAATAACGTACAACTTTAAAAAAAAGTCAGAAGAGCAGTGTGAGAAAAAAAACCATCAATGTGAGCCAGCTATGTGCTTTTTTTCCCTTAACTATGGCAACACCCTCGAATGCATAGATACAGCTACTGTATGTCATCATTGTCATTTGATAAATGTAATACAATGCAACACAGAGATCTGTCTCAGAAGCAGGAGCAGAGCAGAAGGGCTCCCGTGCACGCGCGTGTGAGTGATGGCCAGCTGGAGTGGCGCTCTGTCTTGCAGCCTGAACGCCATCCTGGGGTACCTGCCCAAGCAGCGGCGTACGGGGCTGTTCTCCGCCACGCAGACCCAGGAGCTGGAGAAGCTGGTGAGGGCCGGGCTGCGCAACCCTGTGCGCATCACCGTCAAGGAGAAGGGCGCGGCGGCCAGCAGCGTGCAGAAGACCCCCGCCAGGCTGCACAACTACTACACTGTGAGGCTCTCGCCTGGACCCCCGTCGGCCCACTGCTTCCCGTCTGGGGCCAGCTGTAGGACTTGGTAGACGTGACCGAGAGAGATGTGACATACTTCCTGTCAGGACAGTTTGGGCTGGATTGGATGGGCCGTGCTCATTCCACAGCGCTCTGCTGTTCTGAAGCTGTGAGCAGCTTCTCAAAATGGCTGCTCCCACCTTTCCAGTATCTCCTTGTGTCTCTGACTAAAAACATTGAGAGAGTAGCTCAGGAAAGACCTAACAATTATACCAGACACCTCAATTGCCAAATAGATCTAGTCTCCTTGGTGATGGTAGGGATATAACCTTTATCTATCAATCAATCAATCAATCAAGGTTGATTTATCAATGCATGGACAGTACAGCATACAGTGGTGTTGTCGGCAATGAAATGCTTTATCTGCAAGCTCGTTAAGAGGGGTAGAAGGACAGAAGTTTATAGGGATTAGGTTAAGTTAGGATACAATAAATTATACAATTTCAATGTACGATACAATTTACAGATTGTGCAAAAGTAACACAGGGAGATACGGTAGGATAGGATGTATTTATACTGTATGTGTTGTGAGAGTACAAAGTGACAGGAGGGCGCTGTTGCACCCTATCATTTCAAGCAGGTTGCCTATTTGGTATTGACAAGGTGCTGACAATGAAAGGACAGTACTGGCTCAGACGGTGTTCATTGTGTGTTTAGGTCTGCAGGACAGAGGAGAAGTTCAACATGCTGGTGGCTTTCCTCCGTCAGCACAAGCACGGGAAGCACCTGGTGTTCTTCAGGTAGGCAGAGTCATGTTTGTCATCTGCCAGATTTTTATTTACTCCAGGTCAAAATGCAGAGGAAGTGTCAGCTCTAGAAAAGCCTCTTTCTCATTTAAAACTAGAGGAAAAACTCAGTTGTCAGAGATGTCAGAGCCATAGCATACCCTGAACCTGCCATTGTCTTGTGGTTACACATTTCCATGCATTCTCAAATATATTCAGAAAGTGCAGTTCTCATTCCCCTGACAGAAGTAGGGGCTGATTTTGAGCTTCTCTTCCCCAGCACCTGCGCCTGTGTAGAGTATTATGGAAGAGCCCTGGAAGCTTTGGTTAAAAATGTCAAGGTGCTCTGTATCCACGGAAAGATGAAGGATAAGCGTCATAAAATTTTTAAAGAGTTTCGGGACCTGAAAAGGTAAGTGGGGTTTACTTTTACCGCCTATTTCTTTTCTAAGAATGAGTTATCCGTTTCCCACTTGTTGTAACAGTGGCATCTAACCCTTGTACTTGAGAAGAGCTGTGGCATGATCTGTCTTCAGAGCCAGAAACCCTTTTATAGAGAATTTTGAAGTATATATTATAAATGCAAAGGTTATTTCCAACTGTGTGGATGCATGCTGGAAGCATGGTTATTGTAACCAGGTTTACAACATTGATTTAATTATTCTAAAGATTAGCATTAGTTTCAACGTTAGGTGGATGATGGAAAGAACAGAGTTCTCAGTCATCTGATTTCTCTCTGTCAGTAGTTGACAGTGATTTTACTGCGCTTGAAAGTCATCATTATAACGGCTGCATGTGTTGGGTCAGCAGCCATCTCACTGTCTTCTTGCTAACACTTTCTGTTGGGCCGGCAGTGGGATCCTGGTGTGCACAGACGTCATGGCCAGAGGGATTGACATTCCCGAGGTCAACTGGGTCTTACAGTACGACCCCCCCAGCAGTGCCAGGTACCCCTGATCACTCCTCGCGCTCGCTTACATTACCGGACAAACCTCTCTGACAGCCCTGTGTGTACGGTAATGAGGGCTCTAGCAAAGCACTTGGACTCTCCAGTAAGTTCCAGAGGAAGTAAACGGAGGGGACACTGACGTGGGTAAACGGGATTTTGCGAAACCCAGGGCTGTGGGCGAGGATGGGTATTGACTGGGAGCTGGTTGTGAGCGCAGCGTCTCCTCTCTCTCTCTCTCTGCAGTGCCTTTGTGCATCGCTGTGGGCGTACCGCCCGCATCGGCCACCAGGGCAGCGCTCTCGTCTTCCTCCTCCCCATGGAAGAGTCTTACGTCACTTTCCTGTCCATCAACCAGAAAGTAAGTTGGTGCTGAGGCTTCAGGTCGGCTTGCTAAAAATGAAAGTCTAGACGGGTTTGCATAACATTTAACATTTTTTCTCGCAAAGGTTTTTTTTTTAATAGGCTCCTGAGCTCGGTTCCTAAAGCTTTCTCTCACTGTTTGCTGCGTAGACTTGAATACTGATAGGTGCAGTGTTAAACAAACACCATTCCTGTTTTGCGGATAGAGGTTTATATAGGCGTCTGTAGTTCTGGACTTGTGATAAATGCAGAAGCAAATGATATCAAGAATAATACCGACACCTGACAAAATGAAAGAATCAGGAAGATATGTCGGTCTAATGGGCCAGAATCTAATTTGACTGGATTATGCATTAGTGTCACTGGTAATCTGCAATGAAAAAGGCAACGTGATTGCAGCAGATGTTATCGGAAAGCAAAGCAAGTAGGGGGTGAGGGGGCAGGCTGATTGGTTGTCTGTTGCAGTGCCCCCTCCAGGAGATGGCCCCGGTGAAGGATGTGGTCGATGTCCTGCCCAAGCTGAAGGCCATGGCGCGGGCGGACAGGGCGGTGTTCGAGAGGGGGATGAGGGCGTTCGTCTCCTGCATTCAGGCGTACGCCAAGCACGAGTGCAGCCTCATCTTCAGGGTCAAAGGTTCGAAGTGGCCTGGGATGGGAACTTTATCTCCATCTTCATGATTTTTGCTTTGCTTTGCGGATAAAGCTGATGTGTAAAGCGTTGTGCATTTTGGTTTGAGCAAATTTACATAGAAATACGGAGTTAAAAATGTTATAGCCTCATGGGTACTTCTTCAGATTACACACTTACATTCAAGTAAATGCCAGATAGAGCAACTAATGACTTAATGACACTAGTATGGTACTTATTGTGGTAGCTCCAGCAGCACACATGTAGTGAAACGTATTGAAAATAGATAAAGGGAAAGGTGTGTAAAGCATTATAATGCAGTAGAGTAGATCATTGAATATTTGTGGACCATTAATCTGTCCAACATTTTCTGGTTCACATGCTGATCTGCCACAAGAATATATTACAGTAAAAGCTTATTCCTTGTGAAGTGGGCATGGTACTAAAGGTAATATATTGTACTTTTCATTAAACAAGACACATAAGTAATTAAAGATGACATATATAAGTAATTTGTGTTTTTACGTACTTTATGCTTTAGGTATACTTTTTATACAGTGAACCAGTTGGAAACTCTTAAAAAATATACACGCAAAACTGCAAAAACATTATGTGATAAAAGTGTGTGCAAAAATAAGCTGCTGTAAATACACTGGTGTGGGTGCCCAGCATGCTTGAAAATCTCCCTCCCTCTTAGGGGCTCAGTGATCTGTGGCCTATTTCAGTCACAGTCAGGATTGCAGACTGCGGTGCAAAACAGCGATGCACATTTGTTACCTGAAATGTATCCTTGTGATTCACTGGTGTTGAGCTGATCAGCCTACAGAAGTCCCACAATATGGAGCAGCTTTGATTTCGCAGTGCACACCCTCAAGGCCTCCCTCGACTGAAGTGAAGGACATTCCCCGCCGTCTTGCTCTCTGTTCCCAGATCTGGACTTCTCTGCTCTGGCGCGGGGGTTTGCTTTGCTGAGGCTGCCCAAGATGCCCGAGCTGAGGGGCAAGGCTTTCCCGGACTTCACCCCCGACCCCATCGACACGGACTCCATCCCGTACAAGGACAAGAACCGGCAGAGGCAGAGGAGGAAGATGCTGGCGGAGCAGAAGGAAAGGGAGCAAGCTCAGCCCGTCAGGAAGATCTTCGTCAAGAACAAAGCCTGGTCCAAACAGAAAAGCAAGAATGACAGGAGGAAAAAGGTGGCGGCCAAAAGAAAGAGAGAGGAGGTAACTCTTTACTGAGGTTTTTGTTCCGGCCACCTGCTTTGAAACAGCCCAGGTGTGTGTGTTTCATGTCCCGGCTCTCAGCTGTGAATGGGGAAGAGCAGGCAGTATCCTTTTAGTCGCCCACCTTGGAGCCACTTGTGTTTGAACACGTCACAGGCTGGAGGAGAGGTGCGTCCCTCACTGTCAGGACCGCCTGCCTGCCAGCGTGGGTCGCTCTGTCTCTGAAAGAGATCCCTGCCACATGAATCCCAGCCTGCTCTGTCCTTGGTGGTGCTCAGACGTTTGGGGGAATCGTTGTCAGATATATACTGTATAGAGAGATCACTTTATTGGCTTTATTCCATACACAATTTCTTGTATTAGGAATTTCCCAGCTTGCTCTCCATGAGACACACAGACAGGGAGAGAAGGTTGGGGTCATAGCGCAGGTTCAGCCATTTATACGGCACCCCCGGAGCAGCTGGGGTTAAGGGCCTTGCTCAGGGGCCCAACGGAGTAGGATTCCTACTCGGGCCTCGGGATTCAAACCGGCAACCTTCCAGTCACAGACGCAGATTCTTAGCCCCAGAGTGTGACAGTGAGCTGGGAACATGATCCTGGTTTAATCCCATCATCAACCTGTGTTCTGGCCTGTGCCTTCCTCTGTCCTCTTCTCTTTTCCCAAATCTGGACTTCTCTGGCTGAGCTATTTGGAAATCCCTTAACTTGTTTAGTTAGCAATGGAAAAGAGTGGAACAACACTTACCAAGAGTCATTATAATTGACTTGACTTATCACTGAAATTGCCGTCACTTCTGGTTAAATTTGGTTTTAAAGAGTTTCTCAGTTTCTGCTGATTTTTAAACTTGCTGAGGTTACGATAACATTCTATAAGCGAGCAATTACCTGACCTGGCGATATCCTTCAGGAATGCATTACAAAATTGATCTCAGACTTTTTTACAGCAGCTGTCAGAACTGTAACGAGCAGTCTAATGATGATGATTGTTTCTGGTATCAGGGCTCAGACATTGAAGACGAAGACATGGATGAGCTGCTCAGCGACACCAGACTGCTGAAGAAGCTCAAGAAGGGCAAGATCAGCGAGGAGGACTTTGAGAAGCAAGTGACAGCTGCGCGTGTTTCACAGTCCAAAACGGCAGGCAAGCAACAAGAGGAAGATTCAGAGACAGACTAAGAGTGAACAATGGTTAGAATTTGATCCTAGTTGCAAAAAAAATTGTAAAATTGAAAAACAAATGACAGAAGAACTGCCTTTTTCCCTGAGCTGAGTGACGACTTTTCAAAATCTTCTCAGGGATGCAGCTTTTTAATCAAAGTAAGACCAAGTTGCAGTCATGGTAAAGTAGAAGACACTTCAGAGAAATATTTCACATGCTCTTCAGAACCTTTTCGGTTTGTCACCTGGAAGCAACTTAAACAGCTGAAGCTCAGATCCTGTGTTGTTATACTGGCTTCTTAAGGAGAGTCTGTTCATTCATTGATGCCTTTTTTAAATTGATGTAAAATTGCTTGACTGCATACAACAGTGTTTATTTCCCTGCTACCTCCTGCACAGGGCTTATTGTTAACCATAACCATATTGTTGAAGCTGACACTTTGAGGAAATGGCTACCATGGGATCAATTAGCAACTGTTGTAGGTGGGCTGAATGAACCACTTGTTTGCCAGCAACTACAGTATATCATCCTGCAACTCATTACTGGCAGCCCACTGAAGCTCAGCAGGTGTGAGCCTGGCCAGCACTTGGACGCGAGACCTCCTGGGAAAGCTAAGGCTGCTGCTGGAAGAGATGTTAGTGTGACCAGTAGGTGTGTTCTCCCTGTGGTATGTGTGGATCCTAATGCCCCTTTTATAGTGAGGGGGGACATTAAACTGCAAAGAAAGGTGCCATCCTTCGGATGAGGCGTAGAACTGAGGTCCTGACTCTTCTGTGGTCATTAGAAATCCAAGGGCCAATCCAAACAAAATCCAAATTTGTCCTAGCCAAATTTCCACCTGACCTTTACCAGTCATGTCCTTTTAAAAATACCCATATCTGAATTGGCTTCATCACCCTGTTCTCGTCTCCACCGAGAGCTGGTGTGTGGTGAGAGTACTGGAGTACTTTGGCTGCTGTCTCATCATCCAGGTGTGGGTTACACATTGGTGGTGGTGGAGCGGAGTCCCCATTATCTGTAAAGTGTTTTGTGTGGAGTGTCCAGAAAAGCACAATGTAAATGTTGGGGTTATTATTGTTGTTTGTAACCTTACTTTTTATTCTCAGGCATGGCAATTCTGGTTCTGGTACTGTATGATCAGGTACCCAGGAAATCTCCATGTTAGTGAAATGTTTCTTCAAATCTGCAATTTGTTTTTCAAATGTAGTTAGTCCAGAGCTAACCTATGAGTATCTAAACATTTTATTTTTAATTCTGAATTAAACAAAAGATAGAATATTCAGTCCCATTAAGTGAAGATTAAATATTCATCAGGTTTATGTTTCTCAACATCTAAGTACTGATTTTTTTTTAACAAGCAGAAAATAGTTCCACTGACATTTCTTTAAACAGCTTTATTAGATATATAATTTACTGGCATCTTCAGTGCTGTTACAAATATAGCTTGATGAGTTCATCACTAACAGCTGAAGGGGTGAGCACCCCCAGATCTGTGAACAGGAGAGTGATGAGGGAGGGAGGTGTGTAGTCAATCATAGGATGCTCTTCTGCTAGATTCGTGCTCAACTTCAACGTATCGGCTTTGTACTGTGAAAGACAAAACATTTATTGCAGCAGCCACATAATATCTATATATCTGTATATCCATGAATCCATTTTCTAACTGCTTCATCCAATTGAAAGTTGTAATGCAACTGGAGCCTAACTTGGCAAGCAACAGGTGCAAGGCAGGATACACCCTGGCTGGGACACCTGTCACACACAGACACAGACACACACATGCTCACATCAGGGCCAATTCTCCCAAAGCCAATTAACCTACCCGTATGCCTTTGAACTGTGAAAGGAAATCAGAACACCCATGGGAAACCCAAGGGAACACACAAACAGAACATACGAACTCCACATGCATAGCATCCCAGGACCTGGAATTAAACCCAGGACACAAGCTCTGTGAGGCAGTAATGCTCACCACTGTGCTACCATGCCACCAGAACATCTGAATGTAAGTGGATAATTCAGTCTGAATGATCTTAGCCTGGCTGAGCACTGTTGTCAATGAGATGAAGGAATTAAAGACTGGGTGAAACGAGTCACTGGTATGACTACGGTGTGCAACAGCAGCAGTGCTCTCACATTCTCGATGGCCATAACTTAATTTGTGATATTTTTTTTCTCTCTACTTGTGACTATGATTTCAAAGCACGTCTATGTGAAATCAGAAGCGAAGACAAATCAGTTGAACAATCTACTGAAAAAGTATTTTCAGAAAAAGTAGATTGATTTTGCTGACACCGAGATTATTATTTCTGAACTTGCCCTTTACCTTAAATCTGTCAGGAACATCTTGCTGGTTCAGTGGGTAAAGTCTGACAAACTTGAAGCTTTCTGCCACCACATAAAAAGGCTTGTTATGTGCTTTGGAGCACACTGCCATTTGGTATGTGCCAATCTGCAAAACAATTAGAACAACAATAGAAAAGAATTAGAATAAGATTCCTATACAATATGTAACTTCTGATAGTTTGTAAATTATATGGTTTACAGATTACATACTGTATGTTTAGCACAGTATAGAGTGCTGAACAGCTCTTGTCTTTAAATTTTCTTAATTGTTATTATTTAAAATACATTTAAACCTCAAAATATTTGCCTCCCAACACTAAACGGTTTCATGCCACAGCACAAAATAATCAGTATGTTTTAAAATGAGAAATAAAAGTATCCTGTGTTAATGAATCCTGTGACATGACCTGGTGCGTCTGCGACACCACTCACCTTGTTGATGATGCCTCCACTCTCCACTACACCTTCAGCTCCCACGATCACCAGGTCCACCTTCTCCATGACGTACCTGCAATGACAAACAAGAATCTCCTGTCCTGCGGCCGGATCCATAAACAGCACCCTTCTGTCGTACAAAAGCCCCTATGTCACCTGATTCTCCTGAGTGCTTTGTACACAGGCACTTGGCACACTCAAATAAGCAGTCTAGAGCAGGATACATACCTGACCTCCAGATCTACGCCCTGCAGCCCTTAGCCCAAGTGACATTAAATATTAATAAGTTCACAAAGCTGGTTTTGCAGTGTGTTGGTTATACCTGCGCGTGAACATGGCTGTGCTGTGCAACCAGTTTATTGGAGGTTTTGAAATTCCAGCTTGGAGATTCCTGCAGGTACCTACCCCACAGCAGCATCCAGGATCACTGTGACCGGAACATTGAGTTTTCTTAGCTTTTCTGCCATATTTTGCCTGCAAAAGAATAAGAGTTCACTAAAATAGATCATCCAGATACTCTCCGACGGGAAGTTCCCATTGTAGATCAGATAGAGTGCTGCGCTTGTTGGTATTTCTTTTTTATTGGGTCCATGCTGCCATGTACTTGCCCTGCGGTGTCGGGCTGAGATTCAGTCACGTAGACAGTGAAGCGCTTCTTCTCCGCCGCGGCTTTCTCCAGCACGCGCAGCACCACCCTCGAGGAAGAGTGGGTCAGGATTTTCTACAGCGGGAAAAACCAGGAGGTGAAAGGACACAGGATTCCCTCCCGCTCATGCCCAGCAGAGCAATGCAGCAGTGCTGAATGCGGTCTGCCATACTCTCTGCTCTATGGCTAACTGATGCCCTGAAATCAGTAAGATGCCTGCTGGCTTTTGTGCAGAAATCAGCAACCCTGCTCCTGGAGAGTCCCAGTTCCCCATTAGTAGAGCTAAATCGTCTAGTTCTCAAGACCTGGAACAATCAAGTTATCTACTTGATGATATATTAAAGTAAGGTTGTTTAAAAAAAAATTCACAGCCCATAAGAACCTGAAGCCCCTTAACTGAGTATATGGCTTTCTTAATCGATCCTCCCATCCATCCATTTTCTAATCACTTCTAATCAGGTATGCAACACACCAGGTCCCTTTTCCCCCAGAAACCAATTAGCTGACCAGCATGTCTTTGGACCTTGGGGGGAAACCCATGAGAACATAAAACCTCATGCAGACAGCACCACTGGCAAGGCAACAATACTCACCACTGCGTCACTGTGGCTTAGCTGATCAATAACTTAGTATTGCCAGTATTCATCAACAGTTGATTTAGGGTAAGATACAAGACTAAATGGACTGGGGCTCTTCAGGACTATGGTTGGACTCACTTGCTTTATGACAACTAAAGAACACATATCAGTCTTTCCTATAGAAAGAATTACATCCACAAAGTTCAGTCGATATCACTTCAACACTGTTGAAGAGAAGCATGCTATTTACTACTCTTCAACATAGGTACTCACTGCTCCGTCCTTGATGAATGTGTGACAGAGTTTTGCAACTTTGTTCCTCGAAAGTGATATTTTCTCCAAGAAGAGTTCTCCTCTTTCAATCATCACTTTCTTGCATTGTGATAAGTCCTGTGGACAGGGTGGGAGAAACAAAATGTTCTCAACACCTGGGCCCCAGCTGCACTTGAAAAAACATCTACAAGATCTGAGCCTTTTGGATTCACAATTTCCCCACAAGTTCTCGCATGCTGAATATGTTCACTTGGGTATGGAAAGGAGACTGCTCTCCCGTGATGCTGGAGGACATTTGTTTAGTTTCTCCTTTTGTCACCTTACCTTAGTGTAAACTAGGCTTCACACTGTATGTAGGATGGCAGAGCAGAGCTATGTTGTAAACTAAGTCACAGACACTTACGTCACTGCCTTAAAGCTTCAGTTCAGGGTTTACACCAAGGGTGGACTATCCTGGTCTTGGGAGGCCTGTATGTCTGCAGGATTTCACTCCAACCCAGCTTTTAACAAGTTCAATCAGATCCTTATTGGCTTAGTGGGGAAAAAATAGCTTCTTCCAGCACTTCGGCTTCTGGTACTTTGAAGTGTTCAGGAAACCCCACAGACACACTAGCCCTCCAAGAGCAGGACAGCCCACCCTTATTAAGATGCAGAAAGTTCTTGTAAGAGCCAGTAGGCCAATCAAGATATTGATTGATATTTCAGGCCAGTCAGCTCTGAGAACTTTGAGAAAGATGTGTGAACTTGTACAAGGGCCTGCAATGTGTACAGTAAAACCTGCCATGGATCGGATCAGCTACGCAGTGGGCGTTTTCTGTACTTTTCTGCCAAAACGGACAGGCAGTACTGACCGGATGCTCCAGAGAGGTGAGGCTGATGAAGCGCAGGAACAGTTCTCCCCCAGACGAGACGGCCACCGAGGAGTCCACACTGGTCAGTTTGTCGATGGCCTGAGTCAGGTTCTCTCTCAGACCCAGGATGGTCTCACCTGCACCACAGCAGAGGGGAAACTGAAGAGGAACTTCTGGGAGAACTGACCCATCCCCGATCACGTTTAAAGGATCAGCTCTATCTAGTTAATACTACTACACACCTGAAAAAGGCTCCATAGCCGAAACATTGTGTTTTTTTTCTTCTCTTTTCAGCATGGAATAAACCTTTACTTGTGAGATTGTTACAGCCATCTGTATGAAGATTGGAATTCCAGACTTGTAACTTCAATGCCTATTTGAACTGATAACATGGGTGATGACTGTGATGCTGTCAGGAAGGGCTTGGTTATGGCAGCTGTATGGGGTAGTGGTGAGGGCTCTGGACTTCCCACCAAAGGGACTGTGCGGTCCAATTCCTAATGGGCTACTGCAGTCTTTGAGTGAGTTGCTTCACTCAGATGGTTCCAGTAAGTACCCTGATCTCTCAATGTAAGACAGTGGGATGTAAAGCTGCTCTCAGCTGACTGATCTGTTTGAAGAACGTAGTACCAACAGGCGTGACGGGGTCCGAGTACAATCCCTTTTTCCGGGAATCGGTTACCTTTGTCTCTTTTCAAGAACTCCAGCAGAGTGCGGATCGCGGCCACAGCGGACGCCATGTCAGGATCCTGCCGCATCTGATTCCTGAAATACTCCACCAGTTCTGAGGGAGACAGAAAGGTCTTTGACATGACAAAGATCTCTGTTCAAGTTACCTCTCAACAATGAAACCAATTCCTTTTATGTACAGTATTTTAAAAATGCCAGGCACTGCAAATGCTCAATCTAATACAATTGTAAAACTAAATCACAACCATAGAGCTACTGTAGTAGACATAAGTACGTTATAAGACATTATCTCTTACCCACAGTGTTACTACTTAACAATGAAGTGTAAAAACACCGCTTGTTGAACTACTAATTCATCCGAGCAAGCGGTAGTAAGATTTCACCCAATTTTAAGATTGAACATATGGGGTGCTAATGCTTATTTCTAAAACTTTATGGACGTATATGGAGTTTTAGAAGGAAATAATCACAACATGCATGTATCAAACCAATTTGGGGGAATTGTGACGCCTCCTAACGAACACGCTGGAGTGAATAAACGGGAGTTATTTTATGGAAATATACCAGTTTTTCGTCAGACCCTTCCACACACTGGCTCAGCAAGACTAGTTCAATTCCACCAAAAGGACGTTTCTCTCCATTAGAAAAGTCATACCAGACAAAAAGGCCTTAAATTTAATTTCATTTGACCAAAAACGCAGCGTTACAAGAAAGAAAGTAAATATATTAACGATTTCACCATTTTAGCATTGTCAAGACTGTAGGATGAAAAGTTAGGTCATTCGTGGTCTAATTTATATACCATGGCAACATACCTTTTTCATTCATTTCTGAAAGACAGAAGTAGGCAACTTTCTCGGAGGGTGGCTGGTGCAAACCAGGCAAGAGCCAACAGCTGTAAGACGCAGGAATATTTCCACTTGAATGGCTGTTTCAGACAGTCAGTAAAATAAAAGGCGAAAGTCAAACACGTAGTAAAATCTGTTTTATTTAAAAATCGAAGTTATAAAAATAAAAGCGATCTAGATTAATTAGTTCAGACGTTTTGTAATTAGAAACAAATTATATTAACTTTTACATAAGGAAATTATTTGACAGCCGGATACTTTTCCCCCTTCAGTGCAATAGCTGATGAAATAGAAGATCTCTTAATTATTTACTGTTTTGGGGGATATCGTTGTTTATAAATCCGATAATATGCGCATTTGAAAGAATGATCGATTTTCCTAAAAAATACTGGATTTATCAGTATTTCAATTTCACTCGTGCAGCCGAGCAAGCTCAGAGTGACTAGTCGAGGTTTGATGACGTCCGCATGCTGCGACACTGTCAGGAAGATGGCTTTCTGATACTTGGGGAATATCTTTCTGCGTTTGTGATGCAGATATGGCTTCTGGTGGGTTCATTCAACTTAATTTCGATTATTATTATTATTATGTATGATCAATACGAGGAATATTTAGTTCGTGCATCTTTAAAAACAAGCCTTTTTGTCTTTCGTTTTATTTTACTTAAGTTGTTACAGTGGCATGAGAGGGAATTAGTACAGTATATTTCACTGCTGTTTATTAAGTTTGACGCCAGAAACAATCCACTTCATTTAAGAATGTAAAATGTAACCTTAGTTGGTACAGGACACCGATTACCTAAAACATAATTACGTTATTATTTGTGTGCAACTGAGTTATTACGGCATTCTTTCGATAGAAGATAAGTTAAAATCTTGTTGTGTGTCACAGAGAATTGGGGGTGATTCCTTTCTTCTGTTTGCAGAGGACGAAATCAGTCTTCTCGTCATCGTGGTGGACGTTAGTCCCATCTGGTGGGGCCAACAGTCGCAGAAAGAGCCCGAGGTAAACGAGACGGTTTGTGCTGTATTCTTGCTAGAATATATAGGTAACCGCAGCATTTACCTAGAAGTGGTTTTAAGGCAGTTTGAAAGTTTTAGCTTTTAGCTGCCGCTCGTACTGGCAAGCAAACTGCCTACAATCTGTCACCTTTGTTTTTCTGTATTTGCATTTGTGGAGGTCTGGAAAATATGGATTCTAAGAACTTTTGCAGTTTGTGAAAAGAGTTGAAGTTCACAGCACTTGGTTTACTTTCATTGCTCTGTGAAACAGTTCACCCTGTCCAAGTGCATGGATGCTGTGATGCTGATGGGGAACTCGCACCTTGTTATGAACAGGAGCAACAAACTCGCCATTATTGCCAGCCATTGTCAGGAGAGGTAAAGATGTATTATCATTTGCGATGAACAAGGGTGATGGATTTGAGTTCCGTTTGCCCATTTTCCATTCTGTTTCAAAAACCTTTATTAGTATTTTATCTGTTCTGGTGTGTTTTATGTATCTGTGCCTTTTGCTATTTCACCAGAGTTTGGATAACACTATATATTTTTTATTATAATGGAACTTTAAATAATTTTCCCATTTATTTGATATACCTTCCCATTTTGGAATCGCCACTTATGGATTTTCACGTGTCAGCTCACAACTAAGAACCCTGCAGCAACACACAAAGGAAAATGAGGATATACATGCAGACTTCCACAATCCACCCACCTTTGAGATATTTACATTTTAGCATATCACAACCTAGAAAGCTCCATACAGGCATTTCAGTGCAAGCAGCACTGAGGGGTTCACGTAGTGCACCAGGAGTTTGCAGGGGGCGTAGTTTTGCCAGGATCCAAGAGAGCCTTGGCTAATTAAGCCCAATCCCAACAGTGGTGCTTTCCTAATTGTGCATCTCTGCCTCAGGAATCCTGGTTACTTTGAGTGAGTGACATGCCCCAGGCTCGAACCTGCATCGTCTGGATGGTACAGTTCCACCTGCTCTAAGACAAGCGTCTTTACCGGAAAGGCGACTTAAAATTATAGCAAACTGTTACAGCACCCTGATGGTGAAGACTTCCCTTTCCAAAGCCAGTGCAGTCTTGTTTTAGATCATTTTTGGAAACGCACCTGTTTTTGTGCACAGACAATTACTGTTTTTACTATCAGTTATCTTGTACGTGCTTGTGTTAAAGTGTCCTGGGGATCTGTCAGAGTATGGCAGGGACAAAGTGGGCAGCATGCCAGCGCTGAACATTGCTCTGAGCATCACGCATTTCCCGTTGTGCTCCTTGTTTCTGCAGTCACTTCCTTTACCCCAATAAGCACTGGAAAGCTGGTGATTTTACAGGAGATGAGGCAGCATCAAGCAGTGGAGACGGCAAATATGAGCTCCTGTCGGTAGCCAATGAGCTCATTGCTGAAGAGATCAGAAATCTCATGGCGAGAAGTAGGTCACTCTGATGTTTAAGTTAGTCTCACTCTCTTTCAAAGCAGCCCGTGTTATCTGGCAAGGGATTGCATAACATACTGTCCATCCTGTTTTTTCAGCTGATGTGAGGGGCCAACAGACAGAAACGTTGCTGGCAGGATCACTTGCAAAAGCACTCTGTTGTATCCTTCATCTCAGTGTTGTAGCACCAGTACTCTTAAAAACAGGTGGCTCATGGCTACACTGAAAAATACAGATTGTAGCAGCCATTTGTGACATACAGTATGTAGGAGTTTTCTTTCATTTGTAGGCAATGCTGTCTTCCAAAAAATCTCTTGTTTGTATGTCTAATTGGATTTTTAGCTGATGGCCAACGGGCTGTTAGTTTTCATAACAGTTTCTGGACAGATATCCACAGGCTTTCAAAGGAACTTGAAGGTAATGCAGTCCTTTCTTTCACAATTAACTAGTCTTTCATGAAATGTTAACATAGCTTTTTTAGTGTATCACATATTTACTGCTTTATTTTGAAATTCAAATTAAGATTTCTGTATGGATAGGTAGTTCATAAATTTCTGACATCTTTTCTGTTGTGTTGGTTCGTTTACCCTTTATTTATTTATATGCTTTATTCAAGGCAGAGGCTCTCATAAAAGTAAATGAATGATCTGGAAAACGTAACCCCTGATCAGTTATATAGCAGAACTACAGCAGAGAGGAATATTTCTGGACAAATCAATGAAACAGATGATCAAGTATAGATGACAGTTAATAATTGAAAAAGATGTGGAATATGGAATGTTTTGTGATATATGGTCTGTTTTCTTTTCCAGCTGGACCAGAAATGAAATCAAGAATACTGGTGAGCAGTCATTTTCAGGCATAGTTATCTTCAGGAATTTATTCCCAGGATTAATGGTTTTTGTTGTTCTCCAGGTAATAAAGGCTGCAGAAGATTGTGCATTACAGTACATGAACTTCATGAATGTTATTTTTGCTGCACAGAAGCAGGTATGAATGCAAAACAATTTGTCTCTGCCCTTGGCTTTCCCTTCACAATGTTAATTGAAACATGTAAAATAGCAAATTGTTAGGAATTAAATTTATGGAACACCTTCTTCTTACAGCAGGCTTTGTTCAGTAATAATTTATTAATAATTTTTAAAAATAATTTTTGTGTTACAGCACTAATTAGTGAGATAAGAATGAGGTAAGAATTTCTAAAATGAAGATCCTTGAGATATTTTTTCTGTGATTCGTTTTGATCTCTTTGCTTTTCCCCCCCACTGCTATGTGGTTGTTAATATGTGTTGAAAAAATTCAGGTTCTTAGTTTCTGTTTCTGTTGCAGAGCATACTTATAGACGCATGTGTCCTGGATTCTGACTCTGGACTTCTGCAGCAGGTAGATGTTTAGTTGTTGCCAGCGATGCCAGTACGTCTTGTAGAGACCGTATGTCAGTAGGATTAATTTATATTTAGAGGCCGAAGCAAGAGAACTGTTAGAGTTTTAGTCAACACTGAAAAGAAAAAGAAAGGGGCGAGGGAAACATTGTGCTAGTATGCTTATAGAGCCTTAGCACGATTGACATTTTTCTGATTATATTGTACCCTTCTGAATACTTCTGTTGCAATACCAGTCAGGTATCATTCTGAGCTGTTTGCACCTTTGCTGTTTCTGCAGGCGTGTGATATTACAGGGGGGCTGTATTTGAAAATACCACAGAAGATTGCTCTGGCACAGTATCTGCTGGTAAGAATGCTGAAACATGAAATCTGAAGCAGACATCTAACAGCAGCTGTGAAAAATGTATGTGGGAGGGGACCACAGTCCAATGTGTTGACTAATTGTTACGATGCTAATTAGTCTGACTTTTAGCAATGTGATTTAATTCACAAGGTTAATTTTTGGTACCTATTTATACAGATGCGGTGGTTGCAATGAACTGAGTGAAGCACTTTGATCAGGAATACAGCAACATTATTGCCAGCTGGAATTTGAACCCATGGCAGGAGTCCGGAGCTTTAACCAGAGTTTCACACTGCTGCCCAGTCAGCCTCCTCCATACATTATCCTAACCCTATAATAGAACTGTTATAAAGAAATACAAAAGTAGTCAACATCTTTTAAGGGCTTGTTAACCAAGCCATGGCTGGTGTTAAGTTAGCACATGTGGTTGAGATCAGTGTGTGAGTTTTTAAGAGGGCCATCAGCCGCCTGGTGTGGTGTGCTGTGCGACTAGCATGCTTCCTTTTGCTCTGGGTTAATCCCTCTGTTATGGATCCGTTGTCTCCAGTGGGTCTTCCTGCCCGATGCCGATCAGCGCTCCCAGTTGGTCCTCCCTCCTCCTGCACACGTTGACTACAGAGCCGCTTGCTTCTGCCATCGGAACCTCATTGAGATCGGATACGTGTGCTCAGTCTGCCTGTCAAGTATGTTCTGGAAACTTGTTTCACTTTAATTCAGTAGTTTAATGTTGCTAAGTGGGCTTGGTGATGCACTGATTGCAGGCTGGCAGCACCAGGGCCCTGGGTTCAAGTTATGGGGTGCTCTCTGCGTGGAGTTTGCATTTTCTCTCTGATTTCCTTCCACAGTCCAAGGGCATACTTTAGGTAGGTTAATTGGCATCTGTGAAAATTAGCCCTGCGGTATTGTGTGTCTTTGTGCGTGTATGCCCTGGGATGGACTGGCATCCTGTCCAGGGTGTATCCTGCCTTGTGCCCAGTGTTTGCTGGGATAGACTCTGGCTCCCCCACTACCCTGTTCTGGGCAGAGCAGTTAGAAAATGGATGTTGCCCAGTATGTGACACCAGGAGTGTAGAACTACTTGTGGTCTTGTAAAATGATGTGTCATTTTGAAGCAAATGCCAAATTAAGATCTAATTCTGTAGCAGAGGGTTATGTATGTTGTTACTGCGTTTGTTTACTGATTTTTATTTCCTTCCATGAAGTTTTCTGCACCTTCAGCCCCATCTGCACAACTTGCGAGTAAGTACTATCTAAAGTTAGCCTGGTGAATTTAATACGAGAATTATTGTACCCCTGTTTATTTAATGTGTGTGTTTCTTTCTAGGACTGCCTTCAAGATTTCATTGCCTCAGATGATGAAACCAAAAAAGAAGAAGTTAAAACTAGCTACATGATCACCACTCTTGCTCTGGAAATACTGGAAGATTAAGGACATCGGGAATTGTCTTTAGGAGAATATACAGTAATTGAGACAAGCCTGGACCAAATAAATTTCATTTAGGTTTGATTTCAAACCTTCAGTTTACACAGGACCTCGGAAAATTAAAAAATACAACTGGGAAGGGAAATAATCTCCTTTTTATTTACTGTCACTAGTCAAAAAATGGGTCCCGGCTATGTTTTCTCTGTTCTGTTTTCTCATTTACATAAAGAGTTCTTGACTTTTAAACTATATCCAGAGACTGAATTTGAAACCAACAACTAAATGATTTTTTTTTCAGATCTGCTTGATGAGTAAACTTAATGAAAAAGAAATTATTTTCTTAAACATGAATTTGGTTATACAAGTACAGTTGTCTTATGGTATTAAACTTTGTTCATAATAACATTTTGTTCAGTATTAAATTGAAAAACCGAACATTTTGCCATCCTTGTTTTGTTCTATACAGAATACTGTATGTCATCTCTCAATTTGTTAGACTTCTACATTTTTATTAAATTGAAGAGGTATGTTCATTTCTAGACCAGTGTTGTTGTGTAGATGTTTATATGTCAACATATCGATGTTAAAAGTTAACATTTGGGTTATTATAAGTATTTTTTAATGCCAAAGGCAATAATGACCTACTGTAGGTTACACCACAACCAATCCTAACAGATCAACATTTGTAAACAGTATTTCTAAGATTTTTTTTAAATCAAGGAGTTCAGTGTCAGACAGTTAATAATTACCTGAAGAAACATTCCCCTTTTCTAACACTACACCTTTTATTACTTCATTTAGTTTAGTGCAGATATAACTAGATATATGTCTTTACTGTATATCAGATCATATATAGAGCACAGTAAACAATGACAGTTAATTACGTTACACCAATCTACAATTTGACCTTAAATGACGTAAATGGGTGCTTTAATGTGTTTTTGTTTTCATGTTTTCATTTAAAATGTGGGTCATGTTGCTCCATTATTTTGAAAATATTTACTGCAGTTAGGTACCTTAAAAATTTGTAGTTGTCACGTTCAGATTATACTCATGCTTTTGCAGTCTAGAAAGCGAATCGGGTTAATACCATTGCTGTCAAAACAAACAAGCCGGAACTCATATTTCTTAGATGTCTTTCGGAAATATATTTCTGTCGTACCAGTGGCCGGAAGTGTGGTGTATCATTGTAAACTGACCGATGTGGAAGGGGCGTTTAGTCGGCATTTACAAAATATACAGACAGCATCGGTAGCCTAAATGATAATCTTAATACTTGAATTTATAATTAGTAATGACTATTTTTAAAAGTACAACGAACTAAGATACTTAATTTTAAAAACGTTATGACAGCTGTAAACTATGACTTCATAATGCAAGGTTCATAAATGATACTTTTACGAGTCTTGACCACCTAGTATCTGGAAGTGATATACTGTTTGGACTTCACAAGCTCAAGCAAGTAATTTTACTACAAGCAGGTACTGTACTGTATTTACTGTACAAGTCAACATTAGCTTTTTGTACAGAAATATCTGTGATTTGGTCGCCTGAAAGGATTAGCAACATAACGTTTGGCTGCAATTAGTATAGACTTGTTAAATCTAGAACAATCCATGGTAAACTTACAAGTTCTGTGTCACTTGTCAGCTTTCATAGGCTTTTGTTTGTGGGTGGTACATTTGTAGCGAAACATACAATCTGCAAAGAGGAGAGTTCTTTTCTACCAGTCTGCTTGTAGACTAATTGTATTCAAAGGCGTAACTCGAATTTAATATGGAGACTTTGTTTCTACGACTTTGTTTTTGTCTGCTGCTGTAACCCCGGGGGTGCAGCGAGTATATCCATGGCATCTCGGAGGCAGAAGCGGCTGCTGCGATACGTGGAGGAAGGAAGCCTGCTGAAGTTGAAATCCTACCTGCGCAAACACCCGGACACAGACCTCAGCTTCAGCCAGGGCAGTAAGGGCCGGACCCCGCTGCACCTGGCCTGCTCGCTGGGCGACGACGCGGTGCTCAGGCTGCTCCTGAAGAAGGGCGCGGACCCCCTGCTTCAGGACCGGAAAGGCGACACGCCGCTTCACCTGGCGGCGAGAAGGGTCCTCAAACGGGGCAAGAGAGGTGAGGAGGTCCCGGGCAGGAGCTGGAGCCAGAAGGGGTGGCAGCACATGCCTTGTCTACCGAAAGCATGAAGTTCGTGTACATCTTGGAATAATGAAATCGTGTTTGTCTGCGACAAGTGGAAGTGGTGTCTTCTTATTGATGACTTTTGTAAAAACACCCCTGAATGAGACTAGAATTTGTACACAACTGGGGATTTATGAGAAAACTGTGGTACTGTTCTCTCATATATCACTGTATACCTGATTTGGGGAAATGGAGTATAGATACCAGCTACAGTTTTAAATTATTTTCTGGGGGTAAGTTTAAAAAAAGCGTATTGATATGCTATTTTGATAGGGGGACACATCCTTTCAGTCAGCAAGCATGTGACAGAAAAGACAATTATTTTTGTGTGTGCAATATTTAATTATCCTTCTCCTTCTTCCTCTGTGCAGTCTATGATGATCTGGTTGCCCCTCTCAGGAAACACTGTCCAGCTGCCATGGAGATGCCCAATAATGTGGGAGTCACCCCTCAAGATATTCTGCAGTGGATGAAAGTGGGACAAGTAAGCAAGACGTGTCTCAGTGGAAGAGGCCCCTAATGCAGAGCACGTAGACACCACTGGGCAGCAGCGTTACAGTTCATTACAGACTAGCTTGACCAGCATTTGAAGATTGCTGGGAGCATGGAAGATTGATTTCCTTCCATTTCCCAAGATCTTAGATTCAGATTCTGGTGTCTATATTACTTCTAGAGAGGTATTGAAGTATGTAATTGCCAATTATTATTTTTTTTACAATTGACGCATTTTTCAGAATTTACCTTCAAGCACTTTTTTTTCTGCAGACTTACAAACGAGTTGTGCTGGTGTCTAAGAAGTGTCTTTGCTCAGGATGTTTCATCGTTCTGTCAATAAAATATTTTGGGTTCTCACAGGGCCGGGTTCCACCAGCATGCAGAAACTTCCCCGAAACACCTGACCCAGAGAGAGAGTGGCGTGAGAAGATTTTTGGGGAGTGCCAGGATGAATTCTATGAGACGTTTGGACAGTATGACGGTGAGATGGCCGATTCACTGATCTCCTACAGCTCAAATGAAACTGTCACACGGCCATCACCATACATGGATTGACTTTCATGTCATGTTAATTGTGGTTTAATGACATTTTTATTTTTACCTTCATGAACGCACCCTTTAAGGATCTGTTGCGACTTTATAAATAGAAACAGTGCCTACAAACTGGGGAAGTAATCTTGACATATACTGTGGTAAGGCCCAGTAATAGTCAGATGGTCAGTGGTGTGTTTATACTTTACAAAGAGCTTGTATGTCACTCTGCACTGTTCCTTCTTTCTGTGAGCTGTTCTCCAGCTGCACCTGGTTATCCTTTTATTTTACGGAAGCTCGTGTCTAGTTAATAACTTAAAGAGTTTGGAATAATTTGGTTTCTCAGAAGTGTTCCTCTTTACCATTTTCTTTAAAGATCTGTTTATGTCTTCTCTTGCGTCAGATGACTTCTCTCGGGAGGACGCCGAAGAGGAGGATTTTGGGGACTGGGCCGATCAGGTCAGACGGGAGTACTACCAGAAGCAGCGGCAGGCTCAGCAGGCGGCGGCCGCGTCTGCTGCTCGGAGCCGTGGGAAGAGGCCGGAGACCGAGGCGGAGGCGAAGAGCCGCAGGGATTTCCAGGCCAGGCTGGAGGCCGAGCACGCCGAGTATCTGGCCCGGGCTGCGAGGAAGGAGGAGGAAGTCCGCCGGGGCAAGAAGCAGAGATACGAGGAGAAGTGTGCGGCCGCCTTCCGGGGCGAGTCGGACTCCAAACTCGGCTACGCGGACATCCCGTGGCCGGCGCCGCAGGGCTCGGTGCAGGAGATGGTGTCGGTGATGCTGCACGGGGCCGATCGCGGGGACCGCGGCGCCTTTCGGAAGCTGCTGAGGCGTCAGCAGGCGCTGTGGCACCCTGACAAGTTCGCCCAGCGCTGTGGCGGCCGCCTCAGGGAGCTGGAGAGCAGGCGAATCCTGGACACTGTGACTGCTCTCTCGCAGGAGCTGAACAAGCTGGCCGAGAGCATTAAATGACTCCATTCACCTTTAATAAAGTGGTTCAATTAAAATGCTTGACTAAGGCAATCCTTTTTTTGTGCATCTGTGTGTCTGAGCATTGTGTTGCACAATAGTCGACCTCTTTGCTGGCTTAACGTGTTATCTCTCTTTAGCTCTTTCATTAACCCACACAAGCTTCAGACCAGCAGGTCTTGGGTTTAAAACCTGCAATTATACCCTTAGTTACAAAAGAATTGAAAGTCGATTATGAATTCTAAAGATCAAATTTTGTCACTTCCACATTTATTGTCGTTTTGTAGGGTGCAGTGGCAAGGGAGTACCGTGAGGTGTCGCTGTGGGCAACCACAAGCAGGCCTGTGCTGCCTATCTTTGTAGAGACAGAGAAGCCGTCTCGGCTGCTACGATTGGACGATGCTTCGTTTCCATAGACATCACAACGGTTTTGACATGGCGCTTACCTGCCTGAACCAAAAGACAGTCTGTGTAACACCCGTGTGTCTGTAATGCAACTTTCGTGTCGATGATCATGGTGCCACGGTCCGATGGCATATTTTGTTTCTGTTTTTGGCTATATCTGTATGCCTTCATGGAAGATGCCCGCGGCAGTGTTGGTACGGTGGTAAAATCTGTATTCTTGGGTTTTAGTCGAGTACCTTAGTATTTCAGCTAACAGTGAAATCATAAAATAAATGACGTTTTCATTAAACAGTTATATCATGTTATTTGTTATATCATCAGACACCCAGCACTCTTTGGCGTCCTATTTTCCCTGGAAATCATGGTAATCTCTCAAATGTTTATTTTCAACGTAAAAGCTCGGCGTTCGAGGTTTACCGATACCTAGTTTAGAAAACTGGTGTCCGCTTTCTCGGCAGTGCAATAGCTTGAAGATGGGGTGACGTTTTTGTCAACCCCTGGTGCTTTTCGTTGCAGTTTTCCAACCTGCTTTCGTGTTCGCCTCGGGTCCGACCGTGACTGCCCTCTTACTCGGAAACACGTCCGGCGTTTCATTCATGCTGAGGACCTCTGTCCCATCGAATTCAACAGGTACGGGATTCACAAAGAAGCGGCCCGATGCTGTTTGTTTCATTTTCATTGTGTTTAGAAGGGTATTTAAACTGTAGCAGACTAAGCCCTCCGGCGAAGTGAACACATTGCCTGCCCTGGACATCCTAGTAGTGTTCTCTCGGGACGGATCGCAGACATTTTTATAATGTGCGATTTATTTTAATATATTCGGATTCGGATTCAGTCCTGGTTAGATGTGTCGTTAAAGGTCCCAAGGTCCCTAAATTTCATTCCAGACTCAATCGATTTGGGCTCCTTCAAGTTTCCTCTTTTTTATTGTTTGATTTTGATAAACATAGAAAGATTATGAGAAATAAAGTTGCCTACCATCAAAAAAGAAAACACCCAAGTATTACAAATGTACAGTAAATAAGTGTAAAGGTTGCTAATTAACTTTCTTTTCCAGTTTGACAGACGGTATAGTGCTGGGGAGAAAAGAGGGTGGAGAAAAAGAAGAGCTCACCACAAACGCATTTGAGCTAAATGTCATCCCTAGATTAATGTTCTTGTGCTGCCTCGTCAACACTGAGGTCAAAACACACATTATATGGCTGTGTAAGGCATCAGTATAGTGTCCTGTTTTAGTGTTTGTAACAGTAGCCAGTGGGTTTGCTGTAAGCCTGTATTGAAGAGCACTGATAGCAAATTGTTATATTGTTTGGAAAAAAAGTGTGGATTATTTTGATTTTGAGGTTAACCTGGCTGGCTTTTAAAATTTTTCTTTGCAGGGAGCCTTCCTATTGCTTCCTGTGCAGGAAATAGCTCTGGGCAGTGGCAACTAACAGCAGAAACAGTAGGACAGGCAAGTTTATCAGGCTGATATTGCTGTGCTGTGGTGTATGTGTGTGGGAACTCCCTTTGTTTGTCCCTTTTTTAAATACTAGGAGCAGTATTGACCAACGGTAGGTTTTGTTGTACATGATTCTCCTCACAGGGCTGAGCCCAAAATCCCCCAAACCAAAACTCCACGTGAAGGACATCCTTCTTCCCAACATCGTTATGAGCATGTCAGTCATTGTGACTGTTATTCTAACACGCATTAAAGTGGGAAGGTTAGTTCCAATTTCATTTAATTTTCCTCGCTTCCAGAACACGCTGAAAGTGACGCTGCGCCTGAATCGAACCCTGCAGCTGTGTGGCAGGGGCCTTAATCAGACAGACTGCTGTCCAGAGGCACTGTGTGTTGTGGAAGCTCTGCAAGTAACAGCCTGCCTCCACAGTGTGGCTCAGGACACCTTAGTGGTGCAGGCCGAGATCTACGCGCAGATCCCCTTCACTGGAAACGTCTCGGGTGAGTCGATTAGATTTCATGGGGGAAATCTGCTGTACATTCTAAAATAAATTGCTGGAATACAGCAGAATGGGTGAAGAGGTACAGGAGAAATTGAAGCATTGAAGCACACAAGGTTTTCTGAGTGTAATAGCTATTAAACATGTGGAATAAAATAATATGAAAATAGAAATTCAAATGTGACATTGAAACACATTATGCAGATTTATTTTTTTGTGTGGCCAAGGTGAATATCTGAATGCTGGTGGCTAAAAACAGCATTTATCAAAGTTGCAGGACTGATACATTGTGGAATTTCATATCACAGAAGGTAGCCAGCTGAAGTCAGTGAAAACAATTCAGTATCGTATTTGCCAAAACGTCATGTCTTTTTCACGTGCTATCATTATTAGCCTGAGCAAATGAAAGCGATGCCTGTTTTTTCCGTTTGTTAATGTTTGCTACAAAGGTCAAGTTGGTGGTTCTGATGAATGCCCCTAGGTGAAATAGTAATGCATGTCTGTGACTTCTAGACAATAAAACAGTGATCCCCAATCAAGCCTACCAGCCCCTTGGCTCATGCCCTTGTGATCTGACGGTGGGTTCCTGTGACGTGCGCTGCTGCTGTGACCAGGTACTTATCTGCACTTTGTTGCAGAGGCTGTTTTTATTTTTCTATAGGCCATCATTTATTTTACAGTGCTTGAAGAAATGACACAAATGGACAAAGGCTGAAACTTTTAGTTCTGTTTGGTTGCAGTTAATAATGAATGGACAATTTTGTTAAGTGTGCATAGTATATCTGAAATTGAATACAATTCAGGGATTCTATACCTGATTTTATTTTCATTCATCATTTTAGATATATGATAGATGAACCTTATGCTGCTGTTTTCTGAGACCTTAGCCTTTTGGTTTTGAACTGGATTAGCTTTATTACCCACTTGGAAGGGCACTTTTAAAGAAGAGTGTTTTGAGAGAACAGAGCTAACAAAATGTGTAACGATATGGAGAGCAGAAAATGCTCCACTGGAAATAATGTTGAGTGCTGCGGCTGTTTTCCAGAATTGTGTAGCAGGTGCTGACAGCTGAAATCACAGGAGAATCTTAATTCAGGCATCTTGGCCACATGCATGTACAGTAGGAAATGCATGGCCTCAACATGCTTGGGTACTGGTTTGCCATGCTTATGAGAGACCGTTCTGCTTGGTTGTGGCAGGAGTGCACACCTGAGGCGAGACAGCTGTTCAGCTCCCGGTGCTTCCTGGGGATATTCGGCGGGAACGTCACTCCTCCCTTTGACCAGCAGTGCTCTGTGCAGTCAGCCAACAACAGTCCTGACTGGTTCCCATTCCTGTGCGTGTGCTCCCCCCCAGCTAACAGCCCCTTCCTGGGGCTTTTCTACCAGGGAGCCACAGTGTAAGAATTTCACTTCAGCCTTACCTCATGCGTACCCCCTTTCCTGCATCCCCCCACAGGCATTTCTGCTACAGCGTGTCATCTCTGTAAAAAGAGATTTTTCCTTTGCAACAGATCTTCAGGAGCTGGAATTAGTTTTCCTCCAGTTCTGCTTTTCCACCCCCTGTGTTTTATTCTGCGAGGCTCGTGGTGGTCACAGAGGTGCCTGTGAAGTTATTATTTTTTAAGTCCACACTCTTCTTACAGCATTCATTACCAGCAGGAGGCTGCCTGGATTTCCCAGCAGTGTTCGGTGATCAGAAAATGGCTCCTGCGACTATTCTAACAATATTTGAGATAAAAGCCCAGAAAACCAAGTTCAGATTCCAAATACCCCATTAATCAAAGCCGTCATCGTCTTTGCTGGGCTCCTCGAGAGGTTCGGCCTGTAATGCTTGCCCCTGTCCTCTTTTCCAGGAGTCCCAAACCGCGTCCGTTTTTCCAGACTCCCATTTTCCCTGTGGCTGTGCCCTTCGATAGTTACAAACAGGGCGATCCCATTTTCACCGCAAGTGGAGAGTATTTCACAATTCCGCAGGTACCTCCTCTTTTGGCTTTTTCTGTCTCTTCCGAAGAGTGTTCTTTGAAACGTTACCTTACGTAATACAGCAGGTCTTTATCGCATCAAAACGATCGAGGAATGAAGTGAACGCCCAGGATGCTTGACCTTTTCCTCCATATTTCAGCAATCCCTGGTTGGCCAGTGCATGTGGAGCGCCCCTGTGGCTTATCTGCAGAATTTCCAGTCCAGCTGCAATGTCTTGCTTACTACCTGCGAGACAAATCCAGCCCTGTGCCTCAGAGCCCCTGATCTCAGTCTCAACATTAACAATGGGCTCGGAGGTGAGCACTTACAGTACTGTACGTGATATGTTTCCCTCCACCGTAAATTGTATTCCAAAACAGGTCAGAACACGTTATTACTTGTGATGGAACAGTTTTCCAATCGGACTGGTGTGTATGTTTGCTGCAGTGGATTACCACATATGCATTTCTTCAGATGCGGTCTTGCAAGTGAAGGGTATAGTTGTATGAGCTGTGTAGTGTTGGGAGAAGAGGATTTATTTGTATTGTATTTATAAGGTCTTGGACTAAAAAGAACAACATTCTTCCTGACACTAGAACGTTTTTTTTGTGCCTTGAAACTGAAGGAGTTTTTGCCCAGACTGCAAAGACAAGAATCACCCTTTTTGCTTTCCAAGAATAACAGCTTCCTTTGGTGTAAACGACTTTAGATATGTTTTAGAATTGTATTCATAGCTTATTTTGAACATATTTTTTGCATACCTTGTGGCTCCAGGCACTGTTACCATCAGCGTGAGTGAAGAGATTGTCAGTGACTTAAGCACGTTTGTCTCTGATCCTAATGGAGCAGGAACACTTAGTGCTACACAGTCATCCCTGTTCCCTGGAAGTAAACCACCTGGTGCAAACTCAGGTAGGTCCAAAGGCAAAGAATATTAACCTGGCTGAAAGAGAGCCTGGTGATTCACAAAGGCCTGTGCAGTGTTGACTACATAATTGGGATGCCATAATTACGTGCTGATCTTTATACTGGTGGTTTTTAGTGGTGACTTGCACAGATGTCATCACCAAAGAGTTTTACTTGGGATTTTAAGTTGAAAATAAGACGTTGGAGCCCACATTTGGAGGTGATAAATAAAAGCATGATGTATTTTCTTTTTTCTGGGCACAGGATAGTTTTCTCTACTGCTTGAGAGTTCTAAAAAGATTTTGATAAAAACAATGTACAGGTTTGAGTTGGAAGTTCCTTTTGAAATGTAGAGGATAAAAATGATCAACATTCGTTTAGTTTTATTTGCATTGTGATACAATGTTTTGTTTTAAAAATCCCATTTTGAATAATTAAGGAGGTAGCATAAATATTTGAATGCTTACATTTCTGCAGAACCCCAAGGGCTTTGTGGAAATGTGACCCTGTCACTTGACTACACATTATTTTGGAAGGGAAATGGCCTCACAAACATAACAGTGACTCACACAATAGGAACTGTGTGCTCCAATCCAAATGGTGAGTTTCTGCTTCTTAAATATTTGTATGACGAAGTCTTACCATTTAATTACTTTTTATACCTGGAGATACTGTGTTTGTATGTAAATGACAAAGCTACAGAGAAACCGGTAAAATTCCTGGGAGTATAACTTGTGATGAAAAGCTTGCTTACTCCGAGATTATACCCATTTTTGCTGAGGTTATATGTGATTCCAGTGTGCTTCCTTTAGAAAAATGTTTTTATTGGTAAGATTTCTTGTTTTTTTTTAATGAGGTTCTGAATCCATACGTACTGTCTGTCTTTTCTGTTTCCTTTTGCTGATGAAAACAAAAATGGCAAAAAGTGAATGTTTTAGGTGGGGAAAAACATTTTGTTTTGTTCTCTTTTCTAAGGCACCCTGCCTCTGACCCTGACCCAGAGGTTTGCTGCAGTGTTTGTCAGTGGGAACATGGCCTCACAGACGAATTCAGGAAATCCAGGTCAGCCCACAGGATCTGTCATAAGATACACTTGGTTTATGGGTGTGCCAAGCCAAGATTATTGTTATTGTATTATTATTCTGACGAAAGGAGAAAACTACAAGAATAATACCTTTAATGATGCACTGTTAGCAATACTGAGTTATTAGCACTTTTTGTTGTTACAGATGCTTTTTATAAAATTATAGTAACGCTGTAACCATCCCATCACTGTCTGGCATCTGGAGTAGAGGCAGCTAATGAGAATATGTAATTAAATCCCAAAATGTTTACCTGCCATCTTGTAGTATTTCGGGATATCTCGACTTTAACCTCCCCAGATATTAGGAAGATTAGGTCTGTCTTTTTTAAAAACCATTAGAATTAGATGAACTGATAAAGATGTTTAAATGCATCATTGTCCATGTAAAGAATCTGACTTTAATTTTGTGATATTAAAATGCTTACATTTCTTTAGGATATCAGATTGGGAGGCCTGTCATTGCTGCAAAGGAAGAAACTGGGGACAGTGGGTTGACCAGGACGTCCATTAATTTGTGGCAGCCAGGTATTGCTGTTCTGTGTGAGAAAATGATTCTAAAGGAATTTACCCAGGATAGGTTTTTGTTCCATTTCATATGCATTTACATAGAACAAGGGTATCATGGGCACTCTTTTCTTGCATATTTGAAGAAACACCACAAACAGCACTGTTAAGAAAGGAGGTACTTTTTAAGTTAGTATCATTTATTAGCACTGGCCTGTAGAGGCATTTTTAATTTATTGTTGTAAAAGTTTGCAGTTGTGTTGATGGTTATTTAATTTCCAATGGCATAGTCTAATTAAAGTCTACATGATCCTGTGATTTATTTTGTGATGGAATGTCTTTTCTATTTTTTTATCTTCAGTTGGGGATGGTCTTTGTGCTTCTGCCAGAACTACCCCCGTTTTGTTTGGAGAAGATTCATCGACAGGCTGCTTATTGCGACTTAGTCTGCAGGATATGTCTAACTGTAGTCAGCTGAGGTTTGTAACGCTTCTTCCCAGAGAAGGCATGCCAGTCCTGTTGTTAGCCTTGTCTTGTTAAATCAGAAGGAAAGTGAACTTCTGTGACCTTTACACCGTGTTGTAAATGCTACTGAACAGCTAAAGCAGTGCAGATCAGATCTAGACCTTGACTGTCTCATGTTTCATGTCAGTTTGTACAAACCACACCCCCACTGCCTTGCAGGGAAACTGTACAGGATGGTTTGGCTGCACTGGTGAACGCAACTTACGTTGCAAAAAAAGGCAACTCAAATTTGTCCAGCCTGACAGAATGGGTGCCAATAATCAGTAAGTTTTGGTTTTACAACAGAGTCAACTTTTTTTTCTCCGTCTTTGTTTGTAAGAAATAGGATACCTCTACCCGATCTGTATGATCACTCCTACTGATTGTATGATATATAATGTCAAGGGATTTCCTTATTTTTGTCGCTATGTTTTTTTTTTTCCTTGTTCTTCCTTGAAATCAATGGACATTTTTCGCTGGCATCTCATGAAGCCAAGTAGTAGTATCATATATATCGTGTTTCGGTAGGAACAAGCTCGTATACACAATCTCATTTACAGCATGGAAATATTTTTTTTATAAACAGGTGTGCAACCCAATACCACCAGCAATGCAACAGGTATATCTGGCACCTGTACACAGGTCCCCGCTCACCTGAATATCCGAATTGCCACATCCGTGGCAGGGGCAGTGGCAGGAGTGCCACAGCAGGAAATACTGGCTGTGGAGGTTAGGTGAGTGAGGCTTACTCAAACTGCACCTGAGTGCCTGGACACCCACCTTGATGTCTGCTGCGTCTAAAACATTTTTAGTCCTTTTTTCAGCACAGCCTTATTTGACATATTCCACAACGGGCAGTGTCAACAAAACAAGCAGTACAGAAATGTGTACAGTACTGTGATACCGAATCGCTCGGGTTTTTCAGTTGTTTTCTCCGTTACAGCGCCAGCAGTCTAATGATCTTTTTCTTAATGACTTTGTTAACTTTTGGGGGTGCATTGAGAAAAAGATTTTAAAACCTGCTGTATAAATACAATGACAGCCATCGAGATAATTGGGACTTAGCATTTTGTCTCACTATGTGGCAACATCCAGTATATTTCGCAATATGTGTCTGCTGTGAAGTGAAGAGGGGGGATTATAGCAGCCAGGTCTAGCCCCAGCTCTGCACGGGCCAGGAGTTGAAACTGATTTCTTCTTTCTCCAGGTACGCTCTGACAACATGGGCGGTCCGGTGCGGTGGGGGCGACACAGCCCCATGTGTGAACAGCTCTGTTGTTCAGTCTTTTCCCGTCTCCGTGTCCGTGACATTTCTTGCCATCCCTTCGGAGCCCCTTCCCCCCAAAACCAGGTATTATCCGCTCACCCCTTCCTCACCGAGACATTCGGAACACATGTACTAAACGAATGGAATTAAACTGATCTCTTCATTGCGGTGAGGCGATCTCACAGTTGTGTTGTTGTGTTGTTTTAATGATGCGGGATGTGATGTTTAAAATGATGAGGAAACGTTAGATTGAATACCATCCGACCGGCTCTTTTGTTCTTACGGATTTAACAGATCCAAGCTGGGTGTCTTCATTTGTGTTGTTGTTATTACAAACCTACCAAAGTAATGAACTGGAAATCTTTGCGTGTAAAGCTTTCATCAGGGACAGTTACAATGTATGGACTTAACACTATTGGTTCTGAAAATCTGGGTCGATTCCTCCTATTTAGGAGGTCTGATATTTGCGACAAGCTCGGGAGGGGAAAATATCAGTAAGATTAGGAGGTAGATAAGATGCATGCACATGGAAAACTGTCAAGGACAGATTAGAGATCTTTTCAGTTGCATATGCTTTCCTTGACATTGATAGAAACCTCATCTTCCCCAGGCACTAAAGGTGCACTGATCTCTTACTGAATGTGATTCTTGTGTGCAGATTTCAGATCAATTACACAGAATATGACTGCGATAGGAATGATGTTTGCTGGCCTCAGCTCGCCTTCCCACTGACTAGATACTACACAGGTGAGCTCTGCAGTGGTTGTTTTTTTTTTCAACAGTGCTGATTTCCTTAACGGATTATCACACACGGACTGAAGTACATCCCAACCTCGAATTTTACTGAAAAACTAACATTATGCATTTTTACCTGTTTTCCAAGGCAGTTAGAAATCTGTATTTTATATTGCGTTGTTATATTGTTACTTATTTCTTTATCCTGATTTACCCAGCTTAACATAGAAAGAGGTGTCTTAACACTTCAATTTTTTAATTTAATTGTGTCCTTGCATTTTTTCCAGGCGAGCCATACTCCCAGTCTCTGGCCAAAGGATTGATACTGGTGTTCTTTTTCATAGCAGCATCTGTTCTGGGGACTCCTTGGAATCAGATACGACAAGCCTGGAATAACACAACATTTTGAACTTACAAATTGTTAGACCATGACTGTTTCATATGAAATTAGATTTTTTTACACTGTGTTATTTTTTGGGTCATGAATAGGGTGTGGATGCTTATTGAGTCATATGGTACATTTGTAAATTGTACACATTTATGTACACAAATTGGAATTTGTATTTTTAAATAAAATTAATTTATAATGCTGGACTGTGTCGAGTAAATAACAAGGGGTTGAAAGCAAACCAAAACGGACAATGATTCTAAATAAGGATACATGTGAAGGGTTATGTTTTGACACTCTGCATCTTTAAGCAACATCACCAGAACAACATGGTAACTGCATTTATTAGAACAAATTTGTGTTCAGGATATTTAGAAGAAGCATTACTAGTAAGTATAGACTTTAATATTTCATAACATATTTGCTATATGTTATGCTGTTTCAGTGGGTTCCTACATGGTAGAACATTGGGCTTTGTTCTTTCTGTGACGAAGGGCATCAGAAATAAAACTTCAGAATCATTCTGCATTGCTTTTCAAGATTCAGCTCTGCTTTCCTATCATTTTTTGTCTCACTACTTACACATAACCTTGAGAATACGTATTACCACTGATTAAACTGCAATGGACAGGAAGGTGGAAAAAGTATCCAGGCTAAAGCTCAGCAACCTCAACACGACTGGATTTTCAAATTGGATGAGTAATTTCTAATTTCTCTGCCTGATTATGGTAAGTTTGCGCATGATGGCTACAAGTATCTGTCAGGTTGGGGCTGCACTTCAGTGTTGGATGAAGTGGGTCTCTTACTATGAAGAACTTCAGGGTGAGCCGTACTGTATGAATGGGAGTGGTCATAAGGAATTGCTATAATGATATTCTCAAAGTCTTCAAGTCAGAAAACGGCAACTCAAACATGTAAAGAGCTAAGACTAAGCTTTACTAGTTGGAAAAGGGAAATGTACATTTTTAAAATCATCTTAAGATTTTTACTAAAACCGGAAAGGTGTATTTTAACATAAAACCGACGCGTTGCATACGGAATGATGTATTTTTGGAGGTGGGGCTTGCATTGCTTATTTAAACGTTGTGTTCTTAATGGTTCTTGTGATTTCTCATTTTTTTGTAGGCATTTTGTACTTAGTGTATTGATGCATTTAAAAAGTAGCACGATTGTAACGCTTGGTATAAAGGTTATTACATCACCGGAAACTAATGAAAACTTTTGTTTGGCCAGCAATACTGTGACATATTTGTTCCTGCACCGTCAAATCCCAGGGAAAGTCTACAGTCGGCCGGTATCAAGACAGCACTGTAAACTAGGCAGCGAAAAGACAAGCTTGACCTGGAAACGACGTGGAAGGAATCTGTCAATAAAATAGTCAGAAGAACTCGATTTATTTAATTTTTATGCTTGCCGACAGGATGGGCTTTAAACGAAGATGTAGTCGTTTCCGCTTGCGACGTAAAACGTCCTTCTTTTATGTTCACGTTTAAAGAGATTACGTTTGAAATCTTAGTTTCAGTGTGTAGCCGATTGTGAGCGTCTCATCCATTGTAAACTGCCCTTAATAGCAGTGGTTGTTTGTTTTTTTTAACTGGACTTGAAAGGGGACTTTTTTTAAAGTTGTCCGCGAATTAGTTCTTTTATACGGAGAGATTCTCAGAGAATTTACAATCCGTCAGCTAACATTAAAGATTTCGGAAGCAGGCAAATCGAGAGCTGTGCTTCGGATGGATTTGCCTTGACGTTGCCCTGTCAGGTGCGGCTCAGATACGTGTCACCTTTTAATGACTGACCGGAGGTGTATCTCCGCCGAGGGTTTTAATCTCTGCAGACCTGTGCAGGCGGACGGCCGGTAGCCGAGGATGGGCTCGTTGTTCAGGAGCGAGGAGATGTGTCTGGCCCAGCTGTTTCTGCAGTCTGGGTCTGCGTACGACTGCATCAGCGAGCTGGGCGAGATGGGCTTGGTGGAGTTCAGGGATGTGAGTATAAATGGAGTATGGTGTGACTGTTTTGCTAAAGACAGTCTTGTTCACTCAACGCTTATACCACTGCGGAATTTGTTTTTTTTTATCTGAACTGTTTTGCCGTGACATGTTTGAGCAGCCCTACACACCCGATGACTCCATGCGAAATCACTAAACTACTACGTCTTTGTAGTCGGGGTACTATGTTGAGGAGCTTAAAAAATACATTTTGTAGACTGACAGGTCCAGCGTGGCAAATTTCAAATGCTGGGTATGTGTTGTTTTGAACAGCCCAATTTTGATTTAAATGCGCTAAATTCGGAACTAGGCTGCTGTTCATACACTTAATTATGACTAAGACTGTTACATAGTTTCACAACCTCAGCGGATACAACAGATGACAGTTTATACATATTTGGCATTTCCGGATTGTTAGTCTATAGAAGTGCTTTTGTAATATCGGCTGAGACTGAATGCTGCTCTTCTTAGGCTACACCAGTGAGAAATGTGTGATAAAGCATGTGATTGTGTTAGTGCATTACAGATAAAAAGCAATGCTGTGTTGAGTGTCAGCTGAACACATCCTTAATTGAGGATGCTTTCCCGGTAATGAATAACTTTACTCGATTACACTGCATTGTTTGAAGAGAGTTTATCATTGTCAAACAATGTACCTAAAACGAAAATAGATCTGTGGTATTTTTAGTGGAAAATAGCATGATTCATTTTTCATATATTTGTACATATTAATAAACAAAAAGAGTAAACACAATTCTCCCTAAACTCTGTATTTGGTAGGAATTTATGTACTTCAAATTTTTATGATGAAAAAAACATTTAGACTTCTTTGCTACATTGCATTATATCCTATGAGCCTACACATTCTTCAGATTATGTATAAAGTCACCACTGAAAACCTGAAATTAAATTTAAGCTTTAGAAAAACAGCAGTAACAACAGGCAGTGAAGAAAAAATATGGGATAGCATTACAATCATTTAACTTTGCATGTCACTTTATAACTTGGTAGTTTTCTTGTAGCGAGTTTCCAGGTAAATTTATAAGCTCCGTTTAGATTTCCAGCATTCATCTCTGATACTATGTGTAATGTGCTTTGTCATTGATTTGGTTGAAAACAATGTACTCTTAGGAACACGCACATTAGATCACTCAGTATTATACCCAGCAACAAACACCTCTGTGTGGACAGGCAAGTCCAGTTTGAGCTTGAATCCACAGACAGAAACCAAACCAGGCAAAGAATACATACATAAAGTAGGTGTAAATACATAAAAAAAACCATATTTTCTTTCACTAAGATGTACAGTATGTAAGGACTGCATCATTACTGTTGATTCTTACTGTTGCGAACATGGTGTTTTTGTTGCTGATTTAGCATTGCTGTTCATTTTGAAGTTTGTCATGTTGCTTTCCGATGACGGGGAGGATAGTTTGTGGGTTTATGTAGTTAATTTAAATGAGGACAAATCAGCATTTACCATGATAACTTTACTGTGAAGGAGTATTCAGTACTCCATTCAGAGAGTTACAACAGTAGCATCCACATATTCATTTAAACCCACAACCCTGCAGGCTAGAGACTAGACCTAACCACTGTTTTATGTTGGGGTCTTAAAGCCTTTAGCTCTACTCTTTCTGTGGATCATGTTTTGGTACATCTGCATATTCATGAACATCTGCTGTCTGGTACTTCTAGTCGTTTGAATAATTCCAGTCATATTTCCATTTTTGAACCTTCAGGTAGGGTGCTGGAAGTTCAGCTTGCTTTGCAAGCAATATAAAAAATATTAACGAGGAAATTATTTCTGTTTATACAGAGGTGTATAGAAGGTTTAGAAAAAGCTAATTTGAATGAGCATTGTTCTAAAATGCTCAGTGTTTTCTTCCTGTTTTTCTGTGTTTGAGATTGGTGAAGGAGAGCTGGCAGTAGGAGACAGAAGTGAGATGAAGTATAGGAATGTCAAGGCATTGCCAAGATCTGGAAAGTGCACCTGACTTTGAGTTAATAGTTATGCTAAGTAGTAAGCGTTTTCTGGAATGGTTTGGTGATGTGAGTTAATGCTAAATGTAGGTACATCATAGATCAGCTTTAATTTCCATTGATCAATTGTTTTGCTCCACTGAGTCTGAATGTAATTTATAGTTGCATATTATTATTCGTAGGACAAGAAAATTGATGACATTTTGCAGTTCTTTGGCAGTTTGAGAATTAATTTAAAGCAAACGGATACAGAAAAGTTAAAAAAAGAGCAGAAATATTCCGAATCAACACATCTTTATACTGTCATTTTATTAGTTTTTTAAAAGATAAGAGATGACGCTGAAGCACAGCTTGGCCTCTTTTTGTTTTGTGTGCAAGCATGAGTAGATCTGCTGACGTCAGAACTTCTAGTAGGGAAACTTGTAATCAATGTCCACTAATTCCTGGAAAAATCACTCATTTTACATTTCAAGTATCATCTCTCTGCCTGTAGTCAAACATCAATAGAAACCAGAGGAGAAGTCCTTCGTTAGGTCTTTTGTGGACAGTGAAATTAAACTCCTGGTCGTGCCAAGAGTGTGATGCTAGTCATACATAGACTTGTTAATTGTAGAGAGGGATCAAATAAGATCAAAGTTGCTTTCATTGGCCAAGCATACTTTGTGTCGTGCGTGGATACCACACTGTCGACAGTCAACACACTGTTTGCACACCGAAGGCAATTGTGGGCGCAGTGGGCGGAGTGCTGGCACTGTGGCTAAGGATATGCGCCTGTGGCTGGAGGGTTGCCAGTTCAAACCTTGTGGCCGGCAGAGGAATCCTACTTGTCCCTGAGCAAGGCCACTTCTCCAGGGACGCCATATAAATGGCTGACCCTGCGCTCTGACCCCAAGCTTCTCTCCCTGTCTGTGTGTCTGCGAAAAGACAAATTCCTCATGCAAGAAAGTGTATATGGCCAATAAACTGATCTTATCTTATTTTCCCTCTGTTCTTTTCATTACAGCTTAACCCCAACGTCAACTCCTTCCAGCGCAAGTTTGTCAGCGAGATAAAGAGGTGTGAGGAAATGGAGAGGATCCTCGGTAAGAGACGCTTTGGTTCAGTGGGCACACATTTCTCTTTTGTCGGATTAAGGATCTGCACTAGAATCCAGTATCATCAGCAGGTTACACTCCTTTTTTCCCAGATTTTTGTGCCGCTGCCTGTGGAAATTTCCCTCTATCCACTATAAGTTTCTGCCACCAAAATTGCAGACGCGTTGTTGATTTATCAGCTTCAATGTTTAAAAGGAAACATAACATTTGAGGTCAATGAGCCTCGGCTCCTATATCTGATTGCTGCGTTTCAAGAAATGTCGTTCATTTTGCCATCTGTGTTTCCCATGGCTTAGGAACTTGTGATCTTTGCCTTTGATAGAACGAGTTGTGCAATCTGTGAAGATAAAAGAGTGGCAGATGATATTTTTTGAATTAGTAAAAAAATAAAAAGCTTGGGAAAGGGAAAAATGGACTCAAGATTTTTTTTATGCTGTGCAACAAATTGTTTGTCCAGCATCTTTTAGGAAGGCAGTGAAGTTTTTAAATGTGTTTCATTGCATTCCCAGAAAAGATATTGAAAAGTTCTCAGCACACACTTTCCAGATAATACTTTCCGTTATGTGCTGTACCTAGAACGTATTCCGGGGAAACTGCAGGTCTGTCTGAGACGGCAAAGCTCCCAAATGTCTTAAGTGGATGCTTGAAGTCAAGAATTAGAACTGGAAAAGTATGGCCAAATTAAAAAATTGAGTTTCTGGGTTCACTTATGGTACTACTTATGAAGTAATAAGATCAACATACTTTAGCCACTTTATTGCTTAGATTACGGTGTCTAGTCTATTGCTAATCAACTAAATCTGCATCCAGTTGTTCTGAAAGGTAGCTTTTGTAGAGGAGTAAGGCAGTAGACCCGTAGAAGTTGTTGTGCTTTTGCCTGTGTATTTCAGTCTCACTTCTCTCACAATATCATTTTATTAGCATATGAAAGGTACCTGATTCCTCCCAATAGGTCTGACCATTGCAAAAGGGCTTTTCGGTCTAACCTTGTCATTGCTTTGATGAACAGTGGCATTATTAAACACAAATTTGGATTCATTCTTAAAACAGTTTTTAGAATTAAAATTTCCTTTATGGCCAGAAGCACTAATCAATCCTGAAGATTACTGATGCAGACAGACTTTTCACTACCTTTGCCTTTTCTTTCCAATTGCTAGGCGTATTTGCAATCAGTAGATCACTGATTCTTCAGCCCCTCTCTCTTTGGAGCACTGTTTTAGTAGCAATGTCCTGAGGTGCTCCGAGTGCTGTGTGTTTAGGAAACCCTTGAGCTACTGTGCAGTAATGGCTATCAGTGCCAGTGAGTAATAGGAGTGTACAGAGCTGACATTTGTTGTCACATGTGCACATACCTTTTGCAGAATATGCTTAGCAAAATTTATTCTTTTTAGGGACAGAATTACATGATGTATTTGTGCTACTTGACAATACTCTAGGTGTCATAGACATGTTACTGTTGAGGCAGATTATCAGACCTCTTACTGTTGATTGACAGCATGTACAACATTAATTGATTGCATTAGTTCAGACATAGGATAAAACCTAAAGCAATGACAATGCTGCTGCATCATAATCTTGTTTTTCTTATTGGTGTGCCTCTGTAGGGTATCTGCTGAGAGAAATAAAAAAAGCAGATATTCCCTTACCTGAAGGTGAAGTCAATCCAGTGGCTCCTCTTCCCAAGCACGTCCTTGTCATAATGGTAAGTTTGTTTTTAATTGGCTACTCTGTTTTAATAGTATTTGTCTAGAGAAAATAACATCCTGCTTTATGGTTTACTCTTCTAACATAACATGCACTTGCAAATACGATTAAGATGATGATTTGCTCTGTCAGCAGCCAGGGCCTGATACATTGTAAATATACACTTTTAAAGCAGTGGGTTATGCTTGTAGCTGTTAAAACCACCATCTTGTTGTAAGGTCTGTGGTTTTCTGTAGCAGAGAGATTAGTGCTACAATATACACTATGGGGTTAAAATTGTATTTACCCTCTGTTTTCTTAAACAGCAATAAACTCCTCCATGTATTGTGAAATTAAACAGTTATAGCATTAGCAAGCATAACGGATCAGTGGATACTTAACGCATTGCTGAAATGTACAGAAGAACAATGAATTCATGAAGCATTTTTTTTTTTCATTTTTACCAGGAACAGTTGCAGAAGCTAGAAGCTGAGTTAAGTGAAGTAACCAAAAACAAAGAGAAACTGAAAAAGAATCTCTTGGAGTTGATGGAGTACACTCACATGCTGAGGATTACCAGGAATTTTGTCCAGAGAAACACAGAGGTGAATTGTTGGTGGAGTCTGTGCTAATCTGCTAAATGTCGACTCCTTTACCAATCATCTCGATGCAGGATGTGGCAGCATGTCTGTCTGTGTTTTGGCAATTGCACTGAGAACTCAGTGGTTTTATTTTTTCACATTTACGAGCTACTTGTCTTTCTCCTTTGTGCCATGTGGCTGACATGGATAATGTGGTCGTTTCAAGATGTTTAAGGAATAACCTCTGACTTTAGAAACAAACCCCACATGACTACTTTTAAAGGTTAGCAAGAGAAAGTCAAAATAATTTGTGTGACAGTGTGTCTCAGCAGTTTCAGTTTGTTTATACAGCCCCTTTGATCAAACCTAAAAGCCTTAAATTGCTTTATAATAATGCACTATACAAGCCAGTCAGAGATCACACAAGTCTTATTTTGTTTGATTTCAGTATTTACCAGAATATTGGACCAGAAAAAATTATCCAGAAAGGCAATACTAAAATGTCTGCAACCTGCTGAAGTGCCTGAATTAATAACAAGGACGGCCCTTACTATACAGATAACAGTTAATTGAGGACATGTTTTAACTCAAAAGAGCTGAATATACAGCAGGCTTTGCTTGGCATTCCTCTTTTGATTAAATCTGCCCTTATTTAACTGGGTTACATTTTCAAGGGTTATTATAGTGCAGATGGTTTTATTGCGGTCCATCTGCTTTAAAACACCCTTCTTGTACTTGATCATTTGCAGCATTAAGTATTGTATTGAGTGATTAGGATGACGCGGTGGCGCAGTGGTTAGCCTTGAAGTCTCAGCGCTCTGGGGCCCGATTTCAGACCCTGGTCCCATATCTGCTGCACTATCTGAGTGGAGTTTGTATGTTCTCCCTGTGTTCATGTGGGTTTCCTCTTACAGTCCAAAGACGTACTGTACAGGTAAGTTAATTGGCTTCAGGGGAAAGGGGCCCTGGTGTGAGCGTGTGTCTGTGTGTCTGCCCTGTGATGGACTGATGTCCCATCCAGGGTGTACCCTGCTTTACACCCATTGCTTGCTGGGATAGACTCTGGCTCCCCTGCGATCCTGAATTGGGTAGAAAATGGATGGCTGGATATGTTAGAATGTTTTTTTTTTTCCACTTCGGAATTGTATTAAAGAACTCATTAACTGCTCCACCAAATGTTGAAATGCAGCCCTTAACAAAAGGTCATTTTGCTATTTTTGCTATTTGCAATTCTTATTTCACTGTTCGGCAACATCTTTATTAGAAATAAAGTAATTCAGATCTGTTTGTGACATTTGTAACGTTACATTTTTTCTGGGTGAATGCACAGGCTTACTTGGCACAGAAAACCTAAGGAGCAAAGTGATACTGAAGTGGTCTTTGTGTTTTGTTTTTTTTATAGCAGGAACCCCTGCAGCCCCAGTATGAAGAGTTTCCTTTCATAGAAAAGGAGTCTGTGATGGACTACAATAACATGCAGCGTCTGGGAGCCAAACTCGGGTGTGTAACAACCTGGGAGAGGAGAACATCCACATAGCACACATGAGCTATTGGGAAACCTTAACATTAAGTAGCATTGAAGAGGGATTATAAATCTTGTTTAAGATGGGGGGACTTTCATTTAAGCATGTGTATGCTGTGTTCTTCAACAAAATATAGAGCAAAACACAAAATATTTTTTAAATTACAGGCAACAAATCTATTTTGTAGGTATCCTGTTAGATATTTATTTTGTAGATATATGTTAGTTCACATATAGAAGTGACAGTTAAAGTTACTCACTTTATGTGTATTAATAAAATAATGTTGTGCAAGTGCAAAATCCCTTTAAAACCTTCAATTTCAAACTGGTTTTCTTAGAGCAGATAGATTAATAAAGTACAAAGTAACAATAAAAACAGGAAAAAATAATGGTTTTGGCTTAGAAGTGCATAAACAATCACATATTGTACACTTTCTTTGCATGGAAAAAGGATTTCAGAAACCTACTTTTAATAAAAGTGATCAGATGTTGTACATGCAAATAATTTTAAGATTATTAAAATTTTATTTGGGTCGATAATACAGATATCTTTATCTGTACACCTGAAAGTCAAAGATAGGCAGTGGGAGACTTGGATTGGAAATACTACGAGAGTGGCAAAAGTAGCAGACTGAACATACTCTAGAGAGACCCTCCATGGGTTTTTATAGCAGGTTTAGATCCTGATGCTCTTTATTACCATGTGATTTGTATCATAATTGCAAAGCCTTGTTAGCATTCATGTGCTGTTCTGCCCTATTCCTGCAATAGATTTGCACTTATCTGAAGTGGACAGAGCAGGAATGTAACTATAGGATGTTTGTGGCAAAGAACACCCTTTTTTCACTTTTACTTTTCACTTATATCAGGCACTGAACGTGTGTTTTCTCACTGTGCCGTGTTAGTTTGACCAGATCAAGGTCATGCAAATCATTTCTGGTGCTCAGAAGTGCAAAAGATTTTAATAGTAATTAATTAACTCTGGTTTTAGGGTTCTTACCATTTTCTCGTGTTTGCTTGAATTTAGGTTCATATCAGGCCTCATACAACGAGTGAAAATCGAAGCCTTTGAAAGAATGCTCTGGAGGGTGTGTAAAGGATACACTATTCTTAGTTATGCAGAGATTAATGAAAGTGTTGAAGACCCTGATACTGTGAGTATGCACTTTTTTGGTATTTTTGCATTTATTGATTTATTAATGATCTTTTATTGTAAGCTACTTTTTATTCTCATTCTGTGGGATCAGATGTGGAGACTAGCTAGTTTAATGGGTCATATATAGGAAATATTCAGTCCAGAAACTTTGTGCACACAATGTTTTGCGAGAGATATTGGAGTTCAAATAAAATTCCAAACCGATGCTGTGACAAAGAGGGTGTTTTTTTATATGGAATAAAATCATCAGTATTAGTCGCTAGAATTAAAATAAAGCCCAGTCTAATACAGTTTTTGAGCTAATTAAAGTTTACATGACAAATGTGTAAGATAAAATTCTGTTTTCTTTTTTCCAGGGTGAAATCACAAAAAGTGTAGTGTTCCTAATTTCTTACTGGGGTGAGCAGATTGGCCAGAAGGTTAAGAAGATATGTGACTGGTAAAGATATGTTTTTGTGGTTTAAATGTTTTCTTTTCATTTGTGCAACGTAAGCTTTAAGGAGAATGAAGAAGAAGAAGAAGAAGAAGAAGAAGAAGAAAAAAAAAGCTGTATCTGCTCTAAATATGTTTTTTTTCTCCTTTATTTTCCAGTTACCACTGTCACCTCTACCCTTACCCTGGCAGTAATGAAGAAAGAAATGAAGTTGTTGAGGGACTGCGAACTCGAATTCAAGACCTGCACACTGTAGGTGTTACTTTGCCAAAACATGTACTTGAAGGCCCCCTCATCATGGTTTAGGCTGAGGTTAAGTGACACGTCCAGTGATTCTAGTAACACAGGAATTTGAAATTGAAGGTATCTGCCATGGTGCTGTAATAAAAGGTTAAAAAGTAACCTATGAATTGGTTTTCCATCTGAAAAAAGGATTAAACAGTGGAAACTTGCAGATTTTTAATTACAGCGTTCACACGGGCAGTGCTGGGCACAGGCAGTGTTCCAGACTGCAGTTGTTTTAATCATATACGGCTTTCTTTGCACTCAGCAGCATGACCCTGGAAAAATGATTTGAGGGATTTAAAGAAGAATGTCATCAGAAGAGAATGATTGAGGCTCTTGGGAGTATGGGGTCTGGGATCCCTCTCAGGTGCTTAATCACACTGGCCATGAGGCCTCAGGCTGATCATCTGACTTCCTTGTGCTTCAGTGAGGGAAACTATACCCTCCAGCCACTGGCACAGTCTCTGAATTATCAGAGAAAAAAAAATTAAAGATACACTTAACACATGTTTTAGCACATGATTCACATGCAGCGTGAACTGTGAATCCCCAACCCCTAAATGAATCAAAGTGTCAGCTGTAATGCTGTTTTTACCGTGAATCTATGTTTGAGATGCACTATCTGTGGCACAGAAATTAACACCAGTTTTATGAAATATCAACAAATGAGAGCTGCTGTGTTCATTAAAGATATGAAACAATGTGAAGTTTGGTAAAAATAACTGATACATTTAAATGTATGAAAATGACCAAAGTAATATATATTTTTGTTAAATAAATGCTGTGAGAAGTAATGCAAATCTTAAAAGTAACAAGCTCTGCTAAGTGCGCTGTTGTTTAAAAAAAAAAGCACTTTGTAAATCTCCAGTACATTGCTTTTTACTACAAGCAGCAATGTGTACAGGTTGCGCTTAAGGTGCAGTTTTCTTAATAAATTCTGTCCTTTATTTGTCCTTCTAAAAGGTTCTGCACAGAACAGAAGATTACCTGAAGCAGGTGTTAAGTAAAGCTTCGGAATCTGTCTACACGTGGGTGATCCAGGTCAAAAAGATGAAGGCCATCTATCACATCCTGAATCTGTGCAGTTTTGACGTGACCAACAAGTGTTTGATTGCGGAGGTGTGGTGCCCAGTGGATGACCTGTCCACTCTGAGGAGAGCGCTGGAGGAGGGATCTGTAAGTGCACTTCTGTGCTGTATCGAGAGTTTGAGAAACGTGCAGTTTTTATTGTCATTTTTATTTCTCTAGAAAACGGGTCAGCCAGAAAACCTCATTGACCTTTGGATGAGCTAATTGACATTTCTGGTTTTAATTACATCAATAATTCAATCGGATGCCTTGGTTCCTGTGCTTTTAAGTGCAGATAGCTGGGCTGTGCATAATTGAATGCTACAGATTTGTATCGGTTCCCTCAAATGTTTTAAGGACGTGTCGTAAGGGCATATATTTAGAATTTAAAGTGGGCTTCTGTGGCTGCCTGCCATGCTGAAACACACCATTCATGTTTTAATGGAAAGGGAACCATTAGAAAAAAAAGGAGTTTATATCACACTAATGATTACTGAAGGAAGCCTGGTTCCACAAAATATATGTACTTTTGCATTTTATTTTTTTGCATCAGGTAAGGCATGGATGGACGTACTGTATATCATGCAGAATATATCATGTCCATCCACATCTGGACAATATTCACAACACACCCAGAAAAATATTAATCTTAAATATGTTTATGCTTCTATGGAAACTGTTCTGCTGAATGAAGAATATTATTCTTATCTGGTGCATCATGGCTTTGTGACTCTTTTTCATTTACAGAAGCCAGACAATGTATATGTTTTGTGCTCTTTTTAATGTTTGCAAAAATATTCATGTTATTTTTCGGAAATATTGTTACTACACATACTGTAGTAACTGATTTCTAACTCAAAGTTTTGCTGTTCTTTTTAGAGGAAAAATGGAGCCACTGTTCCATCTTTTGTGAACAGAATACCAAGCACAGAGACACCGCCAACACTCATCAGAACTAACAAATTCACCTCAGGATTTCAGAACATCGTGGAGGCCTATGGAGTTGGCAACTACAGAGAAGTCAATCCAGGTAAAGTGAAAAACATTAGCTATTGCAAAAGAAACAGCTCCTGTTTTAAGGAGGGAATATTTTGTGTTTCATGCGATCCCTTAAATGAAGAAATGCCTGGGACTTTAATTAGATTATAGGATTGTGCCAAGACACTTACCGCACATCCGCTATCAATGGGCAGGAGAACAGAGTAATGAAGCCAATTCATAGATAGGGGTTATTTCAAGAGGGGGAAATGTGACCAGGACACTGGGGTAACATCCCTACTCTTTTTGAGAAACACCCTGGGATTTTTAATGAACGAACACAGAGAGAGGATCTTGGTTTTACATCTAATCCAAAGGACAGCACCTTTGTTATAGTATAGTGTCCCATTCATTATACTCAGACATTAGGACCCACACAGACCGTAGGGTGAGCACTTCCTACGGGTCCCACTAACACCTCTTCCAGCAGCAGCCTTAGCTTTCCCAGGAGGTCTCACATCCAGGTACTGACCAGACTTATACCTGCTGAGCCTCAGTGGGCTGCCAGTTGTGAGCTGCAGGGTGATATAGTTACTGGGTAGACTTGATATGACAGGGTTACATGGGTCAGGAGGACTAGATAATTTCATTGTGGGACAGTTTTGGTCTTGGTATCAGTCTAGTACGTTTCTGTTACAGTGGATGCTGCAGAGTGAGTGGTTTTTTAAACCACATTGGTTGTCATGTTGTTTTTTGATATCTTTGTCTATATATCAGTCAACATACTCTTGGGGTTGAATTGAGAGTGAACGTGATATTAACTGTGTTAGCTCTGGCTGATCCATTATCTGGTCTGTATATGTCTTGCAGCGCCTTACACCATTATCACATTCCCCTTCCTCTTCGCTGTGATGTTTGGAGACCTGGGCCATGGGATAGTCATGGCTCTCTTTTCACTGTGGATGGTAGTATTTGAAAACAACCCCAAACTGAGGAAAACAAGAAACGAGGTGAGAGTAATTTTGATGCCCTACCCTTGATAAATGAAGGATATTGCAGTATTTGTGTGTATTTAATGGGATTTTGGGCCTTTTGTCCTCATTGTGTTTTTAGAGTTAGTTCTTCATTTTTGCACATTTTTATTTTACTATGTCTTCGGAATGTATACCACTTCTTAATTTAGGACACACATATTCTCTCTTTCACTTGCCTGGGCACAGCCAGGAAGAGACAACTAGCAGAGTGTTCAAGACAGCAGACGCTCTGCGTACGCAGTGGTACTCCGAGATGAATGTTGTCTCTTGGCCAGCTGTGTTCTTCCAACCACAGTTCATCTCCCTGTTCAATCTGTAAAGACGCTTTATTGCCGTAGTCTGTTCTTCATATTTATATTGTGTAAAATCTAAAACAACATCCTAAAGTAATAAAAAGTGAGACGTTCCGTGAAAAAAAAATCTTTCAGTGCCAATAATTTGAATTGACAAGACTCTTAAGATAAAAGGCATTCAAAAGGCTTAGTAAGAGTGAAAGGACTGAGGATTGTTGCTAGGTCCAGACACGCCTACAGCCTCAAGCCTCGTGCACATTCCACTCTGATCACCACCCACCACTAACAAGTCCGCTGTTCACATTGTGCTCAAAATTCCTAAAGGTTAAAAAACGTTTTCGATTAGAATTTACAGTTTAGAAATGTTCATACAGATGTAGTACATCTTTCTTGAATAAATATGTGCAATTGTTTTTATCTGGGGCTTAAAACCCTCTGTCTGAAAGCAGACCCGAATCCTGTTTACATCTATCATTATGTTACATATAGCGTTTTCCAGGAGCACATCTGCTGCATATGTCAAGAACTTCCTGTATTTTTTAAATATAATGAGTTTACTGAAGCGGTCTTAACGTAGAAGTGCTTTAGTGCTTTTATGACAGTTTTTAATGACTGTTAGGGTAACATGGTATTTTGTCATTATTTCCAACAGATATGGAACACGTTCTTTGAAGGCCGATACATTATCTTGATGATGGGTCTCTTCTCGCTATACACGGGGCTCATCTACAATGACTGTTTCTCCAAGTCTCTAAATATATTCGGGTCTGGGTGGAGTGTGCGGGCGATGTTCGAGGGAAAACATTGGAAGTAAGTGATGTAAAGAGTAACATTACAGAAATTCTCAGAAACTTTCAAGCCCTTGATCTGGGAAGACTTAGAGCAAGAAATCTGTGAAGACTGTATAAGTTGAAAGTGACAATGCAGTCATCTCCTTGTGAAATTGATCTGAAAAGTATTTTTTCTATGTGACTATGCTTGTGTTTTTTTAAAGTGACACAGATGTCCACTCAAATGCTTTTCTAACCCTCGATCCCAACGTCACTGGTGTCTTCAGTGGACCTTACCCATTTGGAATAGATCCGGTGAGTGCATGGAACTACAACTGTAATTTATATTTTTTGGTGTAATGCAATGTTATACTTCAGTAACGTAAAGCGCATTTTTGTATTAATAGAAGAATTCTACTTTTAAGCATCGAAATATATTATACTGTCCAATAATTAGCTTCAAAATAAGCAGTTATGGATGAACAAAAGATTAAATAAGGTTGCAGTTCCATCAGTGTCAGTAAACACTGATGTGTTTTAAGTGCTTAAATGCTGTTTGGTGTGTGTCAAAACTTAGTATGTGATTTATCACACGCACACAGATGTGACCAAAAGGTTATTTTTAAGTAAATAAATCACCTCAGGTTAGTGACAACATTTTATTTCTAAAATAATTAATTCAAAAGCATTTTTCAGTTCCATGTATTCTTAGTGTCTCTTTTTTTTCATGCAAAACATTTTGAAGAACTTTAAAAACATTTAGTGAATAGCAGCAAATTTACTGGGTAATTTAATTACAACTGGATTAATGGTTCAATGGTTATTTTGTTTCCTTCCATGTGATACCAGATTTGGAACTTGGCGAATAATCGTCTCAGCTTTTTGAACTCCTACAAGATGAAGATGTCTGTCATTTTGGGTATTATTCACATGAGTTTTGGAGTCATTCTGAGCGTCTTCAATCACCTGTGAGTTCACTTAATTTAATAAGTTCTCTTTGTTTCTTCTACATTGAGCTCTACAAGCCTGGAACCCAGACACTAGAATAACTGGAGGGGAAATGTCATAGTTACTCCTGATAACATGGCTTTCTGATTTTGAACGTTTAGATTTGTACTACTTGCAAAAGACGGCAGTAAAGCATTTTTTAATCTGAAGGCAGTGCCTTTGGTTTGATCACTAACCTGCTCAATAGGATTCATCCTGCAACCTGAATAGAGGATTTTAACAGCAGAACCACTCTAGAAAAGCTTGATGTAGATCTCTCTAGCAGTAAAACTGATCCTAGACAGCAGCATAATGATATCAACAGGAGCATAGTCCAAATACGAAGCAATTGAAAATAACCTTCACTGCAAAAATGTTATGCATTGGATGAAAAGGAAGATGAACTATTTTTCCTTTAATCTTGTGTGTGCGTGCAATTCCAAGGTTATTATGGAAGAGTACACCATTGAAAATAAAAATAAAACTGTTTATTTGCTAGGCTGCTCCATCCTTAATTATATCATATCAAAGAAAGAGCATCTCATCTCTGGAGTTTGTTTTATGTAGATAGCTTGTGAGTCATGCTTTGTACCAGTAATTATATATATTTTTTTCTTTTATCTGTGAATTAGGCACTTCAGAAAGAAGTTCAACATCTTCTTGGTGTTCTTCCCAGAGCTGCTGTTTCTGCTCTGTCTCTTCGGCTATCTGGTGTTCATGGTCGTTTATAAGTGGTTAGCGTTCTCGGCCATGGACTCCAGACTGGCTCCCAGCATCCTCATCCACTTCATCAACATGTTCCTCTTCCAGGGGAACAGCGGGGTACAGCCCCTGTATCCTGGCCAGGTCAGTGAGACCCTGGCACTAATCTGAAGAAAATGAAAGAAACTCGGTCAGACTGTTCATGAAATTGCACCCGGGGTTTTACCATTAACAGTCAGTAACAGGTGTATTTACAAATAATAATAATAATAAAAATGACAACGAAACATGGAAGTAGGTTTTAAACCTTTAAAGTGGGAGTATCTATTTAACTCGTCTGCCATAGTTAATCTAAAATACTATATTATGACAATCCGTACAGTAATAGACTGAGGTCGAGTCTGTGTGCATTTAACTAACATTTGTTGCTGTGTGGCTGACAGTCAAGTTGTAGCATGTGAGTAGTCCACCGATGACTTTTTGACTTGTGCAGTGGAAGTGATTTGGAGTAGGGACTTGTTGTGGGTCTGGGATGGCCTTTTGCTGACCCTGCCTTTCTCTCTCTGACCCCGTGGTGTGCTGGGCTCCTGACAGACGGGAATGCAGGTGTTCCTAGTGGTGCTGGCGGTCCTCTCTGTGCCGGTGCTGCTGCTGGGGAAGCCACTTTACCTCTACTGGCTTCACCATGGTGGAAAGCCTCTTGGCATGTACAGGGTAAGGAGTAACACTCATCCCGCAGTATCTCTGATAATGATGAGCTGAGGGGTCTCCTCTTCTTTGTAACCTTTCGTATCTTATAATAATAATAATAATAAT